AATTTCCTGCCCTGGAAATTCTAGAATGTTTGCAGCAGACACACTCTTTTTGCTAATTGTTTTGCTAGTGAAACTTTCATCACTGTTCTATCAAACTATGGGTATCACCGACTGTTTTTAAGAAAATCCAAGTTAAGGGGGAAAAAACTGTAGTACCTGGTGCAGAGCCCCAAACCCCCTTCCTGGAGGTGAACTGCCTGGGGTGTTTAGCTGGGGCCAGGGACCAGCTTGTGCGCCCTGCTGCACGCTGCCCCTGCCAGCCTTGGAGGGTAAGTGGGGCTTGCAGAGGCGGCGGCTGCAGCCGGGGGCAGCACTGGACATGCCCTGACCCAAGAGCAGTGGGAAACCATTCCGGGAAGCACATTTGGGTACCGCAGGAAGAGGAGGAGGGAAACGTCCCTGTCGGCTCAGAGGGCTGGTGGCTCAGAGAGCTGGTGGCTCAGAGGGCTGGTGGCTCGGGGCTGGTGGCTCGGCACCACATGTGGCTCAGCCCCAGGCCTGCTGGGAGGAGCCGAGGCCTGAGTCACACAGTGGCCTGATGTAAGCTGCAGGGCTAGATTAGCCTGGACTTGCCTGTAGCCTGGGGCAAGGCTCCTTCGCACGCGCTCTGGCTCCTTCCCGCTGCAGTGAGACCGGAAGGTGCCGAACCACACGTGAACGGGGTCAGGTCGCTCGGACCCTCGTCCTCTCGGCCCGCTGTCCCCTGGCAGGGTCTCCTCCCCTCCCGCCCTCCTGAATCTGGCACGCTGCTGTTGCTTCAGAGCCCCTGCACGGTTGCACAGGGCTGACTTGCGTGGTTTTGACAAAACCCCCAGGCCAGGCTGGCGCCCTCCCATGGCTCGGAAGCCTGTTCGAATGCCGCCTCCCCACTCAATCCCTCATAGTCCTCTCCCATCACACATCACCTCCAGGTCTTTCACGGCATTTGCACCATGTGCTCAGCTCGTCTTCAGCTCTCTGACAGAGTTGGCCTTTGGACATTTGATAATTTTTGATTGCCTTAAGAAAACAAGGGCAGGTGCAACGCGGTGGCGTGGCCTCAGCGAGCACACTGGCCTCCGACGCTGCTCCACTTCTGCAGCTTCTGCCACCTGGGACCTGTGATGTGCCAGAGGCATTCTGGCAGCTCCTGGCATCTTACAGGGATGCTTGCTAATCCTTACGGTGACCTTAGTGCCTAAGTAAATGCCCAGCAGGTACACGGCACAGACGGGATTTAAAGCCAGGCCCACCTGATGGGCCACATTTCTAGACCCTTTGTGGTGAGTTTCCCAACCCCCCAAGGCAACTTTGGGAGGGGTCTCAGGGCCCAAATCCCCATAGCACAGTAGGTAGGTAGGCAGAGGGAGTGCCAACAAAACATTCCTTTGAAGCAAGCAGTATCAGAAACTACAGTGGAGCATGTTGCTTCCACACCCAGGAAGTTCCACACGCAGTCAAGAAAATAAGAATCTACATGCTCTGGGTATTAAAATTGAGCAATGGATCTAAAAGGGATTTAAAGTAGTTGGCCTCGCCTCATTTCTTATCTGCAGCTGGGATAAGCTGCTACTCCAGGTAGTGGTCATGGGACGAAGTGGGGAGGGCGTCACAGTACATGCAAACATGTGAAGCTCCCTTCCAAAAGCAGCATTTGCCCTCAATGCACACAGAACATGTGGCAGAACTAGAAAGGAGAATATATGTGTCAAATGAAATACTGTTCAGCCACAAGCAGGAAGGAAATCCTGCCGCTGGCATCAACACCGACGGAACTTGAGGCCATTATGTAACATGACACAAGCCAGAGGAAAAGACATACGGCTGCATGTAGAATATTAAAACATATTTTTTTGGTAACAGTAGAAAAGTGACTGCCTGGGGCTGGGGGTGAGGGCAGCAGGGAAGAGGTGGGTGCAGGGTTCTGCTCTGAGGTGAACAGGTCTGAGGATGGAGTGTAAAACCAAGTGATTGGACAGCAGCTGCATGAGGCCCCGAGACTTGCTGAGCAGAAACTAAGTATTCTCACCAAAAAGAAACAACTAAACAAATGGTGACAAATCCCACTGGAGGAAGCCTTTCACAGCATGTATCAAACCACCAGGGCCCACACTTCAAGTCCCTCAGAACTTGGTCAATCACACCTCAATAAAGCTGGAGGAAAGGCCAGAAAGGACCATCCAGAATGTTGCCACGGGTTTCCTGTGCTTTACTCATTCAGCATTCACAGGGGACAAGCTTGTGGCCAGGCCTCAAGCCAGAATATGGTCTCTGCTCAGAAGCAGCCGCACATCCCGTAGGGCTCCATGTTCTTCCTCACAGCACATGCATAAGTATCCCGCCCTCCTCAGAAATGACTCTCACCCAGTACCCTCCTGTGATGGAGACCCCTCCCCTAGATCAGCAGAGGACTCCTCTGTGAGGCCACCAGGCCCTCACAGAGCAAGTCTTCGTCCCAGGATCCTCCACAGCCTACTGGATCCCAGAGCAGTAACTTCACATCAGTCTCCACTGTAAGGTGTGCTACAAGAAATGCGTTACTAGTCATCAAGTACCAGTGGGTTTAGTGTTTTTTGTCCATCAGAGACCAATTATCCTTACATAACAGACGATCCTTGTCTCCAGCTTCTAGCCACTTTTCTTTCTGGTCCCCTTTAGAGAACCAACCCTCTCTCCACACACGATGGGGGTAAACATGCAATCAGTATTAGGACAGGCCCGGGGCTCAGGTCTGGCCAGTCAGAGCGCTCTACAGTCTCATGGCCACAGGGTAGAGCTTGTCCAAGAATGAAACCCACACAGCTCAGCAGAGCTGAATGACAAAAACTTCAAGTGAGCTTCTTATTCTGCCAGGATGACTCCAGAATTTTCATTTGCTTTCTCTCTCCAACACAGGTGAGCATTGCTCACAGCTGGCAATGCTCACACCAGGGAACTTTCCATCCCTTCCCACCGCAGGCTGAAAGTGATGTGGGCAACAGCCAAGTGTAATATGTAGTAAGAGGGTGTGTGAAACCAGTGTGTCTCTTACTGTGGATAGATAACATCTCTAGTTTGGGCAGAACTTCAAAAAAAAAAAAAAAAAGGCACTAAGTGAGATGTGTGAAAATTGTCAAAATTGCTGATGCGTGGCTGCTGGGGCGCTGACTCCATAGCCCCAAGAGGGCAGCACCCCGCTAGTGCAGACGCGGAGGACTGTGGGCGGCAGGACACGGTCAGAACTGCCCGTTGTGGACTGAGCCCAGCCCCTACCCGCCAGGCAGAGCTTGAGCTCCAGCAGGTCACAAGACTCACAGCCTCCTGCCCCCCAGGTAACGTGCAGACGGCTATCCTGCAGGCAATCTTTTGTTGCATCTTGGCAGCTGGTGAGTGGATATTTGTATGTTGCGGCTGAGTTTCATGTGTGCAAAGGTTAACTGTTAAGATTTTAGATTCTTGGTTTTAAAAAATGTGTATGAACATGTTAATTATATCTACAAACACAGTTCCCATAGGCAAATTCTAATATAACTTATCAGTTCTAGCAGAGAAGTCAGTGACCAAGAATGGAGTAGAAAGTGTTCAGGAGTTAGGGGGTCAGGAGCTATTTAAAATAAACTGGAGGTGGGGTGGATACGAGGGCCAGATGGCCAGACAGGCCGTGCGTGGACGACAGGGGCCAATTTACTATGGAGTCAGGGCCTGCCCCACAGGCCCCAGCTAGGAGTGTAGCAGTCACATCCTGATGCCATGCACTCGCTGTGTAGCCACAGGGAAGTTAACTCATGCTCTCTGAGCTCGAATTTCCGCTAACTTTCTGCAGATGGCTGCTGCAAGGGTCACACAGGAATCTGACTACAGAATGCCTTGGCTGGGTGCAGTCCGCTTAACGGATGACGGCAGCATCGCTTAGGCCAGAGTTCTACTCAGAAAGGGCCGACCAAAGGAAGACCACCTGCTACTACCAGAACCACAAGCCAAATCTCTACAGTGAACAGGGAGCTGTAAGCAGCCCACCTCCCGCAATGACTAAAGCCTAAGGGAAAAGTATGGGGGAGAAGCAGGGAAGGAGGTTCTCACCCCTCCACTCAAATAAGAAAGCCCCATGAGCTCTCCGGCACTTGCTTTTCCCTTCTTGTAACTTTTTTTTGGGGTGGGGTGGGGAGGAGGCAGCAGATCCATTAAATAGTGAAAGTGAAACCTTTTTACACACTGACTACCAAAAGTATCCTTCTTACACATGGTTAAAATATGCATATATTAGCATATCACACTCGAGGACAGATGAACACACTCAACATTTTTCAGAGAGGCCACCCACATACTGCATTTTCTACATTTCAAAATGGTACAACCAACTTAGTGGAGGACGTCAGGTTCTAACTCTTGTCTTAAAGCAATCATTAAGAATCGACTGAAGCCAGCAATGTAAATAGCTTTGCTTTTAGCCACTTGCGTTATGGTGCCAATGATGTATTTTTACATTACAGGTTCATTCACGGCCTGTAGTCCAAGAGTGGGAAAATGGTTTTTTTGAGTCCACAAGCCACAAGCAGGAAGGCTTGTGGCCATGACCAAGCTGAACAGGTGTATATAACCACTGACCTGATTTCAACAATATTGGGCCAGAAGTAACAGGTCTGCTCACCGTCCACGGCAGTGTTAATGTTCATAATGCCATGTCCTAGCCACCAAATACTCCCCAAAGACCTGAGTACTTGTCTGTGCTCTTGTGGCGCCCTGTGTGTGCATGGCTCCATGAGCACTGCTCTCACTCTTGCAACTGCTGGCTTAAGAAAGTCTCCCCAGAAGACTCCAGGAAGGAAACAAAACTATACTTGCCAGAACTCAACCTGATACCTCAAAGATAGCAGATGTACTATTCGCATGTGAATGTTAAGACGTGTATGCTTATTTTAAGGAATTCAGAAGACAGGAGACTGCATTTTTTAAAAAATGAAAAAGGGAACAATTTTAATTTAAAGAAAAAACAACAACAACAAAGTGTTTCGGGGGGGGGGGGGAGCATATTGACTCCTGAAAAGGTGTTCTAGGTCTTGCTGACCACATTTATTGGAAGGGTTGGGGAAAATAAAAATGCCATTTAGCTTAAGAATTCGTGAGTTATCTGCAAATCAACTCATTTCAGGAGTGGAAGAATCTTGGTCATTTCTTAATATCAAAATTTACGCAGGCTTCTCTTTTGAGTATCTTCTACATTTAAAGAGCAATCACACAAAGTTGCCTATTTTTTCCACATGGGATAAATTCTTGGTTTCAGCCAACTCTCAATGGAGGGGCAACTAGAACAACACCATCTCCCCGCACAAAGAGCATCGGGATATTCCGTTTTGTCGACTGGAAGAGGAAAAAACAAAAACAAAAACAAAAACAGAACACATTTATACAGATAGGTAGCATTATTTATTTTTTGTGAGAGAAATATGAAAAGACAACAAATAAACATGGACTCATCATGACAATGAAGAACCAGATCACTTACCTTCGTAGCAGAAAGAACCAATCTATTTAATATTAACTGCTCGCTTTTCCTGGATGTCAGTAACTGGGGTCGTGACCAGGGCCACCCACAAAACCCACTGTGTCCTCCTCTTCCTGGCACACAGCTAGACTACATTTTTTCATGCTTCCTTGCAACTAGAGGTAGGCATAGGACTGGGTTTAAACACTGGGGAGTAAACAGAAGTGACTCATTCTTCCATCAAGCTCCCATGACTGTCCCGCGGTTGTGCCCTCTGCCCCCTCACCCCAAGACAGATTCAGAGAACGGAGAATGCAGGGGACAGTGTAACACAGAAAAATGTGCAGGTCCCTGACAAGCACTGAAGAAAGTTATTGTGGCAACTTATGTGAAAGAATTTTAATCATCTAAAACTGAAAATGGAAGATCTCATACACGTGCTATCAGGACTGATGGATTTTCAGAAAACTGAAACTCATCCCTCGATCAATGGATACTTGCCAAGAGCTTTCTATCCTTGTTGCTTGGGCTTGTTAAGAGTTCAGACAACCAAAGCCAAACTAATGAATCAACAAAATAGTAATTGGTAGAAGCTTATAATGCAAACATCAAGAGAGCAGAGCGCAAGCCAGAGCACTCAAGCCAAAACATAAACTGGAACGTAGGGATCTGTTATTACTAAGCAGCTTATGCAATGAGAATCTCACACAATGACTATTCATGCCTCTCAGCGATAGGTTAGAGCACTGGAATTCTCTTCGATGGTGGGCAGGTAGTCAAAGGCTGCCTCATATCAACTTTGGGAGGTTGTTTATGGTTTCCAGAGGCTTAGACAAGAGAAGACCCAGCTCAACTGGTTTCATAAAATGGGCTGAAATGAACACTATTTCTCTGACAAAGCTGCTTTTGTCTGCTGCTGTCTTTTGTTTTGATTTTACCAGACTCTAACCAGCCTCCCGACCCCTGCATACAAGTCCAGCCCCCCAATGCATGTGTGAGCACACATGCTACTGTCTTGTGTCCTGAGTTACGGTTCCTTTGCTAGTCCACACAAAATCATTTTGGAGAACAATTTTGAGCCAGCCTCGGCTTACCTCTTTATTTAAGTGAGAGCTAAAATCCCACTGAGGACTGTTACAAGAATGAGAAACTTCTACCGTGCTGAGCCATTACAGGCTGCGTGTATGTGCTGCTGCACTCACACACTTGGACTGGGGATTGGGGTTCTGGGGAGGGTCCATTCCTAGGCAGAAAGGAAACAAGTAGGAACTGTCTAAAGTTCTAGCAAAACAACAGGCAAAATTGTTGACTGTACTGGAAGTAAACCAAAGACATCCAAATCTCTAAGTTCTGGGCAAGAGGCTGGAAAAAACCAATTATCAGTAGGTGCTGCTATTAACCTGATGAATTCAGCCAGGCAGTGTAGAAAAGAAGATTCACATGGCAAGAAAAGCCAACTGTCTATTTAGACTCCAAACTGTAGAAGACAATAGGAAAAAAAGGTCTGAGGCACAAACTCAGCCCAGAGGGAAAAATCTGATTAAGGACGCTGCCTTCCCACCTCAAGGCAAGCAACATTTGAGGAAAGGAAGAATTAAGAACTAACTAACTAAAATTACCTACAAACAATATCTAAGAGAGAACTTTGGGGTTAATGGTTCATAGAACTGAGTAAACAGATCAGAAACTTGTAAGAGCTGAATGTTTAAAGAAACTGCATGGTCGGAGGAAGCACAGCCTGCCTGTAAGTACAATATTCTTCATACTGCAGCAGGCTTCCTGCGTGACCAGGAAGTCACCTGTAGAAGCCAGGTAGCCCCCAGTCAGAGCTGCCAGATTTAGTAGATGAAATATAGGATGCCTAATTAAATTTGAGCTCTAGGTAACAAAAAAGACTTCTCTTCGTCTATCCCAAAGATCTCACAGGACATGCTTGACTGAATCAGAGGCGTCTGCTGTCGGGGAAGGAAACACTCGCCCCTCCTCAGGGCACGAGCACTGCTAAATCCGCCAACTGCTGTACGTGCCTCGTCTTTCAGTTCTGAAAGGGACTTTCCTAGTGGGAAACCTACCCCTGCTCCTCTACAGCTGGTGTATGGGTGCGGCAAATACTTCTTAGCTGCCAGGAACGTGTGCTGCTCGTGGCCACACGCGGGCCTTACAGACAGCGGCAAACCACAGGGGGGCTCCAGACGCAGGAGCAGACATTCTGTGCTTGCCCCCTTGGGGAGCGTGTGCGAGTTCTGTGTGTGGCCAGGAGGGTTCTGCAACACCCACGCTTACTGTTCTTCACAGAACCAGAGAATCAAAAACACAGAGCTCAACCGTCACAAGGAAAGCACAGAGGACAGCCAGGGAGCATGGGAGGTTCCTCAGTGGGAGCGTTACCATCTCCCTAGAACTACCCGTGAGACCGCTCAGTGACCGGGTGGGAGAGGAGCCACCCTGGCTTTGCTGCCCTAGGAAGCAGTGTCTCCTAACAGTCCCAAGGCGGGTAGCCTCGCACCAAGGAGGGTTATGTGCCATTACAAGGGTCCCTTCTCACTCACAGAGGCCCAACGCTACAGCTAACTGCATTTAGAGATCGTTCACCAGTGTTTCTGGTGAAACAGCTCCAACAGAAATGGAATGTTAGCAGCTTTGATGACTGTCCTAATGATCTCTGCTTCCTGGTGTTCACAACCTTGTGCCGTTCACTCCCTTTCAATGGAGGAATGACATATGTTTCTAACCAACAAAATACTGCAAAGGTAATGATGTCACCTGCATGACTAGGTCACACGAGATTATGACTTCCATCCTGCTAGGTTTGACAGAGCAAGCTGCCACGTGAAAGAAGCCCACGTGGTATGGAACTTAGATTCTCAACCTGCAACCCGTGAGGAGCTGAATGCTGCTAACAACCATGTAAGTGTAAAGATGGCCGTGGACCAACGTGGCTAATGGAGACGGGAATGTTACAACCAGACTGTGCAGGGGCGGAAACTAGCCTAAACTTGTGTTCTGCTCTATGTAGGCCACAGAAAGTCTTAGTCCCTAAACACAATGGTGACAAATCAAAGCAGTGTCCAAGGACAATTTAGTCAAGCATGGGGTGGAATGGAGATGGACATATAGAGGAGCATGCCTGAGCTGGGGTCATGGCAAGGGAAGATCAAACAAATTAATTATTGATCAGATGTGAGTAAAAGCGAGAGGTCCAAGAAAATCCTGAGATTTAGGGTTTAAATAACCAAGAAAATCATTAACAGAAAGAAGTAACTAAGAATGACCTCATTTGGTGAACACCAGTTTAGCTTCAGATGTATCAGTCTGAGATAATACTCAAAGTGCAAATATTTTCAGGGGAGAATACTTTAGTTCAGAACAGGGAAAAAACTGGAGCAACTGATTTACCAGCAATCATCATGGCCTTGATCACACAGCCACAGCTCTGCGCACACCAAATGCAGCACATCCTTTCATAACCCTGGGAGGGAGGCAGTTACTGGCATTTCACAAAGGAGGTTTCAGAGACTTAGGAAGTTTACACAACTTATCCAAGGTCATATAACTAGTCGCCAGCAGCAAAGATTTGCAAACAAACTTGTTAAGAGCGTAAGCTTTTATGATACTGTTATTGTTACAGACTCAAGGCTTCTAACTTCAATAGTACCTCTGAGAGAAAAAAATTCTGGCAAAAAATTAAGGTCTATATTCAGAAGGAAAAAGAGAATTAGCAAGAGTCAGGAGGAAGGCCAGGATATGGCAGAGCTGTAAAAACCAACAAAAGCTAACTCTTATATGTGCCTGTTGCTAATACAGGGGCTTTTCATGTAACTTCTCAAGGAATCCACCACAGCCTCAGGAAATGGGTCCTCTAACTATCCCCATTTTACTGGCAATGTGACTTAGTCACTGACAGATTAGATGACTTGGTTTAATAATGTAGCTGAATTGCCAAGGAGTCAAGATTTGTACCCAGGAGCCCTGGAATCTGAGCCCACATACTAAACCATGATGATCTACGTATGGCTTTCCAATACTAAGACTTTTCCTATGAAATCCTTGGTGATATTAACAAATATGATTTTTGAAATACTTAACAAAGAAATGTGCCACATCTGGAAATGATGCATGACTCAGTGAACTAATATTTTCCAAGTGACCAGGCCTTGATGTCCAAAAGCAAACATGTATACAAGATCCTTTTGAAATGCAAGGTACGCCGATGAATTTTCATACAACAAGAGTACAGACAGTTTATCAATATGCTTCAGATTCCACACAGCAAGTTAACCTTTAAGGAACTTCCAGTAACTTGCTGAGTTTGGGTGTAATATCAAAGGCAATTTTCAATAAAAAACTCTCCTCACTCTTCCAGCCAGTTACCTCTATGAGGTCAAGGTTTTCTTCAACCAAAATATATTACAACAGATTAAATGCAGAAAAGAGAGGTATGAAAATCTAGACGTCATCAATAAAGTCATGAATTGAGAAATTTGCAAAAAAAGTTAAAATAGACACATTTCACTAAATATTTTGTTTTATAAGTTTTTGTTCATAAAAATGTTAACATGTAACGCATTTATCCTTTTTAATATATATACTTAAAATTTCTCAATTTCAGTTTTTCTTAAATAGCGACAGATTAAAACCATTCAAAGCTAAAGTACACTAGTCAGTATTATTATTACTAAAACAGGCACCTTACACTGTCATATTTCATTGGATGCTGGCAACCCTGCGAGGTAAGCCGTAGCATTCATGTTTATCAATGAGGAAATTAAGTCTGCAATATTAATTCCCTTGCCTGAGTAGTGTAAGTAGGAAGTGGCTAAGACCGTCTCAGAGGCCAGGTCTGTCTGACCCCCAAACCTCTGCTTTTAATTATTACAGTATGCTCTAAGTCCATGCGTAAGTGTCAAAACATAACATACTTTCCATAAATAAATGTCAAACTGTTGGATGTTGAGAATAATCACTTTAGAGATTAAGAGAACTGAGTGACTTACTTTATAGATTTCTTCATAGGTTTCCTCATCAATTTCTATAGTAGTTACAGTTTCTTCCACATCTCCCAATATCATATTTAAATGTTGATCATAAGCCTGTGAGGGTGATGGAACATGAGGGACCAAGAAATTTAATCATACCACAAATTTTTATATGTAAATAAAAAATAATCTCACTGTGCTAATATATTGTTTCCTCACAAATCATCTTCAATGATAACTGACGTGATAAAAAACACAAAACTATTAATAGGTCCCAAATGGATTTATTCAAAATAATGTGAAATTTTTTTTGTAAGTGTCCATCTTACTTGTTATCCAAAGTAGCAACACAATTCATAATAATTATGAAAAATAGCAAATTCATCATCACTTATCAGTAGTCATTCTTAAATTTCATCTGTAACAGTGCAAGAAAGACACATTTTTAACGGCTAAGATGGTACTGCAGCCTCCTAAAGGCAAACCTGCTTCCTAAACACAAGGTAGAGCAAATAGAGCAACATTGTGCTCATTTATAGCCTAGAACTATGTCTAGCATCTGCGGGGCCGACCAATAAACGCTGCCACTCAGGCATTCAGGGGTATCCCTGAGCCAAGCCCCAAAGTTCACGCAGTAACTACAAGATGAACCTTAGGGTATCGTTCAGCACCTGTATATTCTACTTATAACGAAGTGTTTAATGGTTCACCAGCTCACAGAACAGGGCCAGAAAACAAAGGGCGGGGACCATTCAGTACACAGGCAATCAAGTCAATGCAAGGAACTAAAGAAGCCTCCAAGAGTTAAGAGAATGTGTCTGACGTGGGGGGGTTTCTCCATGCACCCCAGGCCCATGTGGTAGAGCTCAAATCCATTCTCAGCAAAAAGTTGCTACTATTCCATTTCCTGGTGTTTCTCGTCCCTGTAATCTGTACATTAAGACCAGGGTCTCCCTAAGTCCTTACTTCCCATTCCAAGCAGAGGTGCCTTAACTAGGTTTTATGGAAGGTGGAATTACAGCTTGTAAGGGAGAGCCTGAAGTCAGACGGCAGAGGTTTATGCTCTGGTCCCTTTACGACTGTGTCACCTTAGTAACTCTGTCTTTCTGCACCTGAGCTTCCTCCATTGTGAAATGAAAATATGGGTATCCACTTTCAGAAGGTTATCATAAAGACTAAATTCACCTATAAAACACTTAGAACAATGGTATCCACTATAATTAATAATATTTGTAATCACTTTATAGTAGAACAGAAATGATAACAACAGACTCAGGAAAACAATACACCAACAAAAAGAGGCAAAACCTACTGCATCCTCCATGAATAAAAGGGACAATATCCAGGGACCAAGTCTACAGAAATATTCGCAAATACATACGAAGCAAAGAACAAAGAAATAAAAGTGCTTACTGCAGCATTATTCACAGCAGTAAGAAGTGGAAAACCATCCGCATTCCATGAAGTCATTAAAAATAAAGGAGATATGTACTCATCATCAATTTCCAAGAAAGAGCAAGTGAAAGGTACTCAAAAAATACGTACACTGATATCTCACCTTTTCAGAGGTGCTGCAAAAAGTGTAAACACGTGCAGATATACATATACATACACCTACGTGCATGTAAACATACATAAAAGATCTCAAAGCGCAAAGTCCTGATTTTGGTGAGTGTGTGGATTTTATTTTTTTGACCTTTATTACTAACTATTTTGACTTAATGAGTCCTAGTTCGTGACAGTGGTTATGAATAGGGGAATGTATGTACTCTATGTATTTCTGTGTTGTTTTCCTTTTCCCCCACAACAAAACACCTATTTATACAGTTCAGCATTTTAAAGGGCATTTAAATAAGAATGGAGGCCAAGTAAATGTCACAAACAGAATGGGAAAATGAAAAGGATGAAAATATTCTCTAGGCCCTCCCTGGTGGCGCAGTGGGTTAGGATGCAGCACTGAAAGCTGGCCACAGCCACCTCAGTGCGTGTTCGATCCCCATTCCAGCGGAGATCCACATGGTGCTGCAGACCTCTCCTGTCTTGCCCCCTGCTCCTCTCAGCAGTGTACTTTGTCATTCTGCCTGTTCTGCTCCCCGCTCTGTCTCTGGTGAAGTCTCTCACAGGCCCTGCAACTCTGGCTTATACCCCAGTTCTGTATGCATAAATAAAATAAATCTTTAAAAGAAAATATTCTCTAATAAATACACTACTCTCATTATGAGATAACATGTAAAATTTGGGATGACTTTCCACCTCACTCTAGCTACATTCAAAATATAACCTACCTTTTTGTATTTTAAGACTCTGGGGCTAAAGGAGAATAACAATAATCTGATTAATTTACTTACATGTAACCTGCCTCGAAGCTCTCTGTCGTTTCTCATTTTCACATAAATTCGCTCATCCAAGCTGAGCCTAATGAGATCCAGGGGCTCTTCTACAGTGTTTGTAGTTTGTTGCTGATTGGATTAAAAAAAGAAAAAAGGTCAGCATGCAGGACTAGAAAGAGAGTAGTGTTTGAATCACTACTATTCTGTATGACCGTGGGCAAGTTACTTAACTTTTCTACGGCTCAGTCTCCAACTTATGAAATGGGAATAACAACTGTACTCACGTAACACTGCTGCTGTGAGACTTAAGTGACATTTATGACAGCTTAGCACACTGCAAGTGACACACAGATGTGGGCTGGAACATACAGAGAAAGGAGTTACCCAGCAAAACAATGGTGTGTGTACTTTGTTCCATCAAAATAGAAACTGTGCGACCAATTTCAGGGTGTAGGGGTCATTTTAAAGTCCCTTTAGCCTTACCTCAAATATCATTCAATCATTTGAAAAGTATTCACTTAATGCCTACCACACACTAGTTAGAATGCTAAGCAGAAGTGAAGGCTTGCGGCAAGGTTATGAATGCATACTGCCCAGGTACCAAGTCCAGAAAGAGGAACAGAGAGAGCAGACAGTACAGAAGAGAGCACTGCCTTTCAGTCAGGCAGTATGTCCACTGGTCCTGACTGATGAGCTGAGATTAAAAACCAGGCCGCCTCTACAGAGCTCTGTTTCCTTGATTGCAAAACAAGGATGCCAAAACCTTACTTTCAGGATTCTTGTGAGAGCTAAATGAACTAATATATTTAAAACAGCATTTGACAAATTTAGAGTACTTATATACATGACTCTTCTTATTGCTACTAAAGAATTTGGTTGAAGCCAGCAGAGCTAAGATTATTCCAGGAGCGCTTCAGTGAGCACATGACACCGGTGGAGATGACTGACTGTTATAGAGTCTTAAAAGGCCAGATGAGAAAATAAAAATTCCCGACTTCTACCGATCCATGAGCCCTGTTTAGCAGGGGTTTGTTCTGTACTAGTCAACCAGCTGCTGGATCACACTGACACAGAAGTCAGCCCCTGCCCCCAAGGAGCTCGTTGTAGTGAGGTGAGGCATGGCATTACAATACCCTATGGCTACACAAACTGCTCTGCGAGCCTCAGTCTCTGATACCCACTGTCCACCCTTTTCTTGCTTAAATATCGCCTTTTCATAGAGGACTCCACATCATCCAGTCCATTCACTCAATATTTGAGTGCCTCCAGCACTTTTCTGAACCCAAGAACAGAAAAGTGAACAAAATTCTTGCCCCTAAGGAATTTACATTTCAGCGGGGAGGGAGAAAGATAAAGGCATTAAAAAAAGTATATGTTTAATATGAATAAGAAACCCATTTAAAAAAAAAAAAGAAGCCAAGGCAAGCTGACTGGAGGGAGGGCCGATTTTCGCAGGTGGCCAGAGAAGTGATGAGGTGAGGTGAGGTGAGGTGCGATTCCTGTAGAAAGGTGAAATGTGGTGTGATTCGCAAAGGAACTCAGGAAGAGCATTTGGGGGAGACAGATAAAGGCTTCAGGACCTCCAGTCTACTGAGTAGCGCGCTTTGCTTGTCTCCGCCACATCACGACACAGTTGTTACAAATCCCAGGTACTGATCTTTACTTTCAGTATGTGTGCTGCCGAAGCCAACACTTTTCATCCGTCCTTCTCCAAAATATAAGCTCCACGTCTTAGTCAAGGGGTGCTGCACATCCGTGCTTGTGTGCTTGGTGCTTTGCGAGACGCCTAGTCTTACAAAGCTGATGTTGACTAGGTACGTATCGAGCCGTTTCGCTCAGGAACGATACCTTTATTATCATGCCACCAGATTTCCCATAGGTCTGTGAGGCAGGCGAGGATAATTATTGCTATTCAAGAGGAAGGAAATAAAGAGCAAGCGGAAAAAACCAGTTTCAGGAGGGCTTCCAACAGGAAGAGAGCTCAGGGCCTGAAGCAGACTGTGGGTGGGGGGGTTGGTTAACAGGGGTAGCTTGAGGCTGCGATGACCGAGAAGAGGAAGCATCTCGGGAGCTTGGAGGAAGCAGCCTTGGGACGCAAAGTCGAGCAGGGCCACTGCTGGGAGTGGGGAAGGGCTCTGGAGAAAGCCGCTCTGCAGAAAGACACTCACCTGGTCCACGTCGTCCGCCATGTTTCAAACCCTGCGCCCTTTCCCGCCTATCGCGAGACCACGCATTCCCCGCTCCGTCCCGCTCCGCCCCGCCTCCGGAAGTGCGAAAAGCAAAGCGCCGGAACTCGCGGAAATCTGTTCTGTCCCTTCTAGGTTCCCTCAGTTTGCGCAGGTCTTTTGGGAGCTGGGCGGAGCCTCTTCTGGAGGCGTCGGCTTAGCCTGATGGGGGCGTGGCCACTTTAGCCCCGCCTGGGGGCGGAGCCCGGGCGCCGGCAACTTCCCGCCGCCTGGTGCGTCGCTCGCGAGGCGAGTTTGGCCGGGACAACATGGGGCGCAAGCGGGCAGCCGGCAAGGAGTCGCGGGGAAGTGAGCCTCGCGGCCCGAAGGCCAAGGGGGAGCACTTGACCCGGCGCGAGGAGGAGGAGGCGGGTGAGAGCCGGGTGTAGGGGGAGATGCTGCGGGAGGGCTGGAGGCTGGCCTGGGTGCGGGGGGCGGGGAGGCCGCACCCCTGGGAGGCGGGAGGCGGAGGCCGCTGCGAGCCCTGCGCGACGAGCCGCCGCTACGGTAACCGGAGGACGCCGGCTTTGTGCTGCTGCCCGCCCTGATGTCGCGAGGTCCCTGCGCCTTTGTCCTCCGCACGCTTCCCCAGGAGTTCGCCTGGCCACGGGCGCCCCTGCGCAGCGTCCTTCTGCACCCTGCAGGATAAAGTCCAGCCGCCTGGCAGGTGTTCAGGGTTGAATTGGGAAAGACACCCGCGGATTATTTTGTGTCCCGCGAAGACAGATCAGGGTATACGCGTGCAGTGTGTGGTGTGCTGACTGCCAGCGTAGCTTCAGCGTGTCCCAGCCCAGAGTTTCGGACTTGGTTCCTGCCTGACTGCTCCACGTGGAACATGAGTAGCCTCATTCTGCGTAAACACAGCCCTTTGAGTTTTCCCCATCTCAGCACACGATCCTTTCTCCCACCTGTTAAGGCAAACCCTTCCTTTTCCCCTCCCTCATTCAGTGAGCCAGCAAGGTCAGCCCCAGAGCTGTATTTCCAGTGTCTTCACTGCTCTTTATCTCCGTGGCCCACAGCCCCTGACCAGGTCATCACCGTTATTTTGCAGTTGTGTGGACTTCCTGCAGCCTCTCACCCCGCCGCAGCAGTACTCAACTAACTGATCTTAAAAAAAAAAAAAAAAAAAAAAATCAGATCAGAAGAGCACACGTCTGAACTCCAGTCACTGCTCGACATCTCGTATGCCGTCTTCAAAAAAAAAAAAAAAAAAAAAAATCAGATCACGTCACGCCCCTCCTTCCAACCCTCTGGGCCTGCCACTTGACGAGCATACATTTCAGATCCTCCTGACGTGATTTGGCTGCTGCCACCGCCCCTTGTGTGCTCACACGTTGTGGCTGGATGCTCTCCTTACCTGCCTTTCTTTCCCTCCGATGTGCCCTGTTATTTCTCACCTAGAGCCTTTGCCCTGACAGTCCTCTGCCCTGATTGTTCTCCCGTAACTCCTGCCTGGCTGGTTTCTTCCACTCCTTCAGGTCTCGTCCCAGCCACTCCTGCGCGTCCTCTCCAAGGTGTCTCCCCTGGATACGCTGCAGCCCAGAGGCCCCCACAGTCTCTGTCATGGTCTTGTTCATTTGCTTCCTTTTTTAACCACTCATCTCACCAGAATCAAGCTTCCTGAAAGCAGCACCGTTTCCTAGCTTACCCCTCTACATATACAAAGAACCCAGTGATCTTAAAATAATTGCGAACTTCATGCGATAGAAGGGATTTCTGGGGTTCCCGAAATAGCTGGGGAATAGTTTCGACTGGCTTACCGGCAGTTGCTCTGTGATGTGTGCATGTTCGCAGTTCGTCTTCCGTTAGAAAAACAGGCATTTGTAGCAATTTCTAAATGACTTGCCTCACAGTGCTGTGTGTGCCATTTTATTCATTTACTCATCCGCTAACATTTTTTGAGTGAGGGCTGTCTATGAGCTAGGTGGCACGGAGGTAGCGATTGCTGGAGCACTTTGAGCCATAATAGTGGTCACAAGCTATTCCCTAAGAAACAGCCAAGGCAGGTTTGATTTTGTGAGAGAAGGTACGAGTTTTTGTGGTTTCTGAAGGAATAAACATTTGGCTGGAGAGACTGGGAAGTGTTCTCCGGAGTATCTCTGCTCTGTGACCTGTAGGGGTGTGGTATTTCAGCAGGAGGCTCGGAAAGGGGATGGTATTCTGAATATTTCATTTCAAAAATGTCTAGGTCTGGTGGAAATGCCACCTGCCCAGGTATCATTCCTCCCAGCAAAGCACTTCCGGGCGTGGGGTAATAGAGCCCCAGGGCTTACGTGTGGCGCTGGACCACGATCCGGTTACTGTGCGAACTCACTTAGCCTTTCTGAGCCTTGTCTGTGCAATGCAGCGCTGCCTTCCTGGTGATTGTGTTTTAGGTAACTAGCTCCCATCAGTTCAGTCTGAACATAGGTTAGGATTGATGTATATTCCTTGCTGGATATTAGCAGAAACTTAAGATTTGAAAGTTAAGTTTGGGTCCCTTAACCTCTCTGTAGTATTAAGAGTAGAATGAAATGCTGATAAAGGAAGATGGTTTTTACTGTGTGGAGTGTAGACAACCCTGGAGGTCGGAAAAGGCTGAAATCTGAGTGGCCAAATGTGTGATGCAGAGTTGGTTTGGAGGGAGTTTCCAGAACTTCAAGACACTGGCCATTAGAGCACACTGCCTCTCTCTGCTTTCCTTGTGTGTCTCTCACCTCTTGTTCCATTTGGTCATTTAGATGTCTTTGAAGATGAGAAGCCCCCAAAGAAGACCATTCTCTCAAAAGTCTCAGGAAGGAAGAGGAAGAGAGACTGCAGTGATCCCAGGGGCCCAGCAGATGGTCCAGCAAAAAAGAAAGTGACCAAGGCGCCTGCTAAGTCTGAAAACCCCAAGTTGATAAAGGATGAAGCCCTCAGTCATGGGGAGGGTTTCAGGTAAGATGACTAAAAAGCGTTTGACCAGGTCTTGACCTTGGAGAAGTGTAGGTAATTCAACCTGTTCTATTTACTTGTCATTTTAAAAGTTGGGATTGTTAAATCTCCTGGACAGATCTCAGACCACTTGTCAGGATCTTAAGAATTATAGTTTACCTCCCAAACTTCAGACGGGGACAGTGGCAGCTTGCAGAAAGTGATTTAGTTATATAGTTGAGCAGCTAGATAGTGGTCAAAACCAGGGTGAGAGCTCTGGCTTCTGACTCCTCTCCAAAAAGATACTAATGATACAAAATATTTACCTGCCATTTTGGATTCACCTCCTACTGCCCTACTGGGACCCGCTGCCCCTGTCCAGCTGGGCTTGTCATTGCTCAGTGGATACAGGCCCACGCTTTGCTCCCTTTGAGTTGTGCTGATATTCTTCCTGCTCGTTTCCGTCCTGAAGGTGCAGAACAGAAGCCATCTGCCTTACAGTCTTCACTGATTCTTCCCTCCTTGTTTCTAGGGTTTCTTGCAGCAAATTTTAAGCTTGAAACGTGTCTGCTTTGTGCTGATGCCATATAATCCCTGCTTGCTGTCCTGCAAGCTCTCCGAAGGCTGGAGCCACCCTCATTCATTTATATATGCCCTGTGGGATCAAGGGCAGGGCCTTCTACTTGGCAGGAACTGAATGAGTGTTGGCAGTAGGTGAGCAGCCCTGTAAATAGTGAACAGTCAATACAGGCTTAGTGAGCACTTGATTTTCTGCCTCCTAGGAAAATCGGGGCAGGGGAGGTAGAGGAGGAACACAGGCTGCGGGCGCAGCTCCTTCGTCTCTTATTCTGTCCAGCGGCCTCCAGTGGCCTCTGAGAGTCTCCGGGAGAGGGCAGCAGGGCAGAGGAGCAGGAAAGCATGCAGCTTATCTGCCGTGTTCCCCTTCTTCTCACTTAGACTTCTCCTGAGAAAGCCTCTCAGCTTGCCGCTCCCCCAGATACCTCCCCCACCAGTTAAATTGTCTCCTGAGACATCACACACAGACCAGGGCACTACCAAAGAGAGCTCTGGGCCCCCTTGTCCTCTGTTGAGAGTTGACCACAATCAAGCCCACCACGCATGGGCATTTCCACTACCTGTATTCCAAGGGGGCTCGTTGCTTCTCTGGTGTTGGGGACAGTGGTAGGCCAAAGAGAGGATGTGTGTTACTTGAGCAGAAGACTAATGATGAGTTATTAGTGCAAAGTGATTAAATCCCACAAATATACTTTGTATGTGGACTTGCAGAAATATCACATTGACTCGAGTCAGTGTTAAGCTCGTTACTTATCTGTGCAACTGTTTAACTAACCAGCTGTCTGCATTTCTGTTGTTATTTACACACGTCTCTGTCTTGTCTTGTCCCCACTTGCCCTGAACGTACAAATCTGCTGACTTTAGTCTCTGTACATGGTATTTCTTAAAGGTGGGGAAAATTTTGAGTTGACTGATGGAGGATCAAAGCTGCTCTTTGGGTTTCAGCTGCTCACATCGACACACAGAAGTTGCAGCTTTTACTTCTGGAATTCACATTATTGTGGTGGTTTCTCGGAACTTTTCTTACCATTTCTGTTCTTACCATTTCTGGGCGCAGCACTGGCTTCCTTCACGGAGCTCTAGGCTGTAGGTCAGTAGTTTCTTTCTGTTCAGCAGCAGCCTAGAATTAGATGAGGCTCAGAGCGCTTGATACACTGATGGAGGAGATGAGGCCAGAGCTCATTCAACAGACTGAAGAGTTGCAACAGATTTTCAATACATGGTAGCCCTTAAAATATCGTTTCACCTAAATGGAACACTCAATACCTGAGACTTCATCTTCCCCCCTGTGGTTTTACACAGGGACGCTCCAGGTGCCCCCCGCCCAGAGGGGCAGGCCACAGACAAAGGCAGCCACCAAGGAGACGACAATGACGAGGAAAGCGAAGATGACTGGGAAGAGGTAGAAGGTAGAGCACCTTTCTTTGTTTTCAGAACTGTTTAAGCCCATTTTTCTGTTGGATTCTGTGTAGAGTCCTACGATCTATTTCACCCGTTTGTTTTTTTAAACTGCTAAGATCAAAGAAGTTTGCAGCAGGGAGTTGCTTTTGATTCAAGGAAAACTGCATTGTAACATCCACCACCAGGACACACATCAGGCTGCATTTCCTCTCCTTGGGGGGCTGAGGAGTAGAGGCGAAATGGCATCTTCCAGGGGAGGGCCTGGCTCTGAGCAGTCAGTGCCGGCCCTGCGGCTTCCTCAGCTGGGAGAGCCAGAGTTCCACTGTGCGAGCTGAGCTTGCACTGGCAACTTTCGGTGAACACCCAGCGCTTACTGGGACTGAGTGCTGCCACTCAGGGGCCGTGTTTGCAAATGTGCGGGGCCCAGGTATCATTCTCATCATAAGTAGCAGCTAATGGCACCACCCATGACTCTGCCTTGGGGGACTTTTTCCCAGGCGTTTATTTTGAAAATGTTCAAGCCTATAAAATAGATGAAAATACAGTGCACATGCAGGGACGCCTCAGGTCTCCTCGGGTTAGCTCCAGTCTGCTGCCGTTCAGCAAATTGTGTGTGGCGTGGGGTTTCACAGTGCACGTGCAAGTTATGCTAACGCTGTACTGGCATGCATCACCCGAGTCTTCACTGAGTCATAATCTTCCCTCCCTGGTGAGGGGCTTGCCCTCTCGGCGGCTGCTGACTGCTCGGCCTGCTGAAGGTCCTGTGGCTGTGGCGTCTCTCCGACTTCCTGTGGCGGGTCTGTGCTATCCGAGGGCACTTACCCTCGTAGATCTTTCAAAATTGGAGCCTAACTTCTCTGCTGTCATTTCAGCAGTGTTTTCGGGATCTGCACCAGGAGTAGATTCCATGGCTGCTTATCTGTAAAAAGCAGCTCCTCACCTGGGAAAGTTCTGTCATGAGATTCAGTCACACTTTCAGGCTCTAGTTCTAATTCTAGGTCTTTTGCGATTTCTACCACAGTGAAATTCCTCCACTTGAAGTCGTGAACCCCTTGAAAGTCATCTCTGGGGGGAGTCAGCTTCTTGCAAACGCCTGTTATTGTTGACATCTTCACTGCTTCCTGTGGAGCAGGAGTGTCCTTAATGGCATCTAGAATGCCGTTTCCAGATGAACTGCATTTGACTTTATCCAGATCTATCAGAGGAATCACAGTCTGTGGAAGTGCTAGCCTTAAGAAACATACTTCTTGGCCCTCCCTGGTGGCACAGCGGGTTAAAGCACCGCACTGAGAATCTAAAAGCCACTTCCTCATGAGTTCGATTCCCGCCTGCCCCGGAGGTGACCACATGGCGTGGCAGACCTCTCCTGACCCGCCCGCTGCTCCCCTCAGCAGTGTACTTTGTCGATCTGCCTGTTCTGCTCCCCACTGTGTCTCTGGTGAATCCTCTCTCCCCCTCCACATCTCTGGCCTGTACCCCAGTTCTATATGAATGAATAAATAAATCTTTAAAAAAAAAAGAAACATACTTCTTAAATATTAAGACTTGAAAGTTGAAATGACTCCTTGGCCCATGGCTGCAGACAGGATGTGTTTACAGGCATGAAAACAGTGTTGCTCTCCTGTCTCTCCATCTGAGAGGGTGACTGAGAGAGGGAGTGGGTGACCAGGTGCATTTCAGGGAGCAGTGACACTGTCAGTCTGTATTGCTGGGCTTGAAATCTTCAGTAAACCACGTCTCGCCGTCCGGGCTCTGTTGTTCCACTTGCAGACACAGGCAGAGCAGAGCTGGCGTCATTCGCGAGTGCGCTAGGATTTCAGAATGGCAGGTGAGCGTTGGCTTTGATGTAAGGCCGCCAGTTGCAGCAGCCTGAGGACAAGAGTCAGCCTGTGTGTTGAAGCTTTGAAGCCAGGCCTCGGTCTAGCTCAGCTCCAGTGTGCCTGCCTCAGCCTGCTTCACCCTCCTGAGCTTTGATTTAAAGTGAGAGCTGAAAGACACTTGAATCCTCACTCCATACAAAGCAAGTGGCTCTAAGCATTACAGTAATACAGAGAATAGGAAACGGTTGTATTTTGGCTTCTCTTATTTATTAAGAGACTAGGTCTCTGGTAAAACATACACGTGAGCCTCACCCCTGCATGGCAGGGTGCCACTTCCAGTTTAATTTCCCATCTCTACCTTCATTCCTTCGTGTCAGGACTAGTGGGTGGCTGTGTGGGTTAAATAAGAGGAATAAATGAAAGACACTCGGCCCAGTGTGTGGTGGCTGCAGGTGCCCAGGCAGGGACAGGTGGCGGCCTCTGGCCCCCGGGCACCATGCCGCGCCCTCCTTCCCAGCACCGCCTTGATGTTCAGTACAGCAGCTGTAATAGCAGCAGCAGCATTAATGCTTGTGACTGTTATTATTGTAACTATTACTGTTGTTGACTTAAAAAATTATCCTTGCTAGAGCTTAGTGAGCCTGTACCAGGAGATGTGGGAGAAAACGCAGCCTTCTCCAAGTCTGTTCTGCCCTTGAAGCCAGTGGAGATCGAGATCGAAACACCAGAGCAGGCAAAAGCCAGAGAGAGAAGGTAAGTTCAGGCACTTGGTTTTGACTCCGTCACATCATCAGCGACACTGCTACTTGATGAAATGTGAGACTCCCACAGGAGTCCGGGGCTGTGGGTGAGAGAGCCCCCTCACCTCAGACCTGGCGCACAGACCTTTGTGTCCTGGCTGGAGCAGGGGTGCGGAGAGGGAGCTCCTGTGGACGGAGCACCGGCTGCATGCCAAGGACACTCCAGCTCTCCAGCTGCCTCTAACTTAGTCCTCAGCTCAGTGTCTCCACAAGGGGCTCAGGCTCGGTGAGGTTGAGGAACAGCTTAGGTCTCACTGGCCAGTAAGTGCACGAGCCACGGTCTAAACTCCTGTCAGGTTTCCTGAGCGCTGTGGTTTTCCCACCATATCATGTAGCAGAACTAGAGGCTTCCCCGCTAGGGAGACCCCATTCCATCCTAGTGTCCCCAATACCTCTGCAGCCTCTTGGGCAGGTGGGGCACAATTCCTGGCACAGGCTGGTTGGTTAACTCCACTCTGTGGTGGGTGCATTGTTAGCATGACGGAGGGGAGTAGGAGTCATGCATGAAGCGTCACGTGTCCCTGGATCATGGGACACAGACAGGAAGGGGATTTATACCGGAACTGTGTCATGCAAATGGGGTCCGTTGATTTAACATAAAGGTAGGGGTGGCTAAAGACGGGTCAGTCGGGCAGTCCGGGAAGACCTCCTGGAGGAGGGGAGTTGGAGATGTGTTTGAGGTGTGACTGGGTGCAGGCTGTGAGGAGGGCGGTCTGGGTGGAGAACGTCCTGAGCTGAGGTTTGCAGGTGAGAAGGGGCAGAGAGTGGCAGGCTTGCAGGTTGGCTCGCGGAGCCCTGGGGAGGTAGACTGAGCCTGGGTCCAGCAGCCCTCTTCATTCTTGGCATTTTCAATCTGCGTTGTAGTGAAAAGATAAAAATGGAGTTTGAGACATATCTTCGGAGGATGATGAAACGTTTCAACAAAGAAGTCCATGAGAACACACACAAGGTGCGGCAGAAGGGACGGGCAGGGCAGCCGCCTCGTTCGAGCAGCTGTGCGGCGGGGGAAGCACGCCCGAGGTCGCGCTTATTTCTGGCTCGCGCTTATTTCTGGCTCATTCGCCATGTTTCTTGTGCTCCCTTCTTGGCACTTTTCTTACTGTCCCTGAGCCCTGGTTTCCTCATCTGTGAAGCGGGGTGGTGTGTGATTGTAGCATCTTTCTGAGAGGGTGGTTGTGCGGATGAAGCAAACACTGTACGGGAAGCAGGTGCCCGGCGGGGCGAGGGGCTAACTGATGGCGCCTCCAGCGTCTGGGAACCTCATTCCGGTCTCGGCTGAACCCCTCGGCCGCTGACTTCAGCTGGCGGCTACTGCACAGGTGTTACTACCCAGTGGGCTGCCCGCACTGTGGGACAAAGCCCACCTCCTTCGACGGAGTTTCTGATCCCACAGATGGAACCAGAAAGATCTTAAAACAGATACTCAAGGCTGAGGAGACAAAAGGAGACGCGCGTGGTCATAGTGCTGAGGAAGGCGCTCTCCGGGAGACAGGGCTGGGGGGGAGGGGGCAGGGGGGAAGGGGCTGGAGAAGGCGGCCTGCACAGACAAGTTGCGGGGAGCAGGGTGCGGGCACCAGCCTGCGTGGCACATGTGGGGCGAGAAGGGGCACTTTGAGCTTCTGGTGGACAGTGGGCAGCCAGAGAGGGTAGCGATGGGCTGGACAGAGCAGGTGACACTGGGCCTGCGGCAGCTGCGGCGCAGGCTGGGGGAGAGGGCGGCGCCTCGCAGCGCTCGGGGAATGAGGCCGTCGTGCCCCGTTCCCTCTTGGCTGTGAACAGGTGAAAGAACCGGAGAAGTGAACAGACTCACAAGGCCCCGAGATGTGAAACTTGCGGGTGGAGAGAAGGGTGGAGCTACTAACCAAAACGGAGAGTGCGGATGCGGGCGAAAGCGGGGAAAGGGTGCAAAGCTGTGTGGGAGGAGGGAAGACGCCCTCACGTCTGCTGGGGGCGGGCAGGAGGCCCTCGGGCGGCTGTGGAGGCTGTGGAGCGGCGGGCGGCGGCTGCGCAGTCGGCAGTGGGCCGGCTCCACGGTGCGGCCGCCAGATCCCTGCCCACCGCTCTCCTCTCGTCTCGCTGGAGAGGACGCAGACTTTGCGGCTCTTCACCCGTGCTCCCGTCAGGATTAGCCGAAGCCTCTTCACGTAAAGTTTGTATTTCGAAGCTCTGCGATTGTTTCTGGAGTGTGGAATACCTGCAGAGAAGAGGGTGTGAAAGACAGAGTCTTGGGAAATGCACATGTTCGTGCTCTTCCTTTCTCGTGTGTAGAGAGGACTGGCTACTTCCTGTGCACAGAGTAAGGCGTGTAGTTTGGCTGCAAAGGTCTGGGCCTCTGTCTGAGCCCCCCTTTTCTCTCCTCAGGTTCACCTTCTGTGCCTCTTAGCTAATGGCTTCTACCGAAACAGCATCTGCGCCCAGCCGGATCTGCTGGCAATCGGCCTCTCCATCATCCCCACGCGCTTCACCAAAGTGCCTCCTCGGGATGTGGACATCTGCTACCTGTCAAACCTGGTGAAATGGTAGGGCTGGGCCTGTCCGGTGGCGCCTCGCTGGAGGCCCGGTGTCTCCCAGGGTGGGTGCTGGCTCTCGCAGACACGCCCTGGTCCTGTGCGCCAGGCAGGGGCAGGGCTGAAGACAGCAGGCCGGGCCAGTCCAAGCCCTCCCTCGAGGAGCCCCAGTTGGTCAGGGGACAGACACCCCTGGGCATATCGTGGCCAGTGCTCTGGGAGTGTGCAGGGGACTCAGGGCTGTCTTCAGTGGGGCGTCTGGGCAGACCCCAGGGAGGTGAAGTCGGGTTGGTCTTGCCGAGTAGACGTTTAGCTAGAGAGAGCAGGGAGACTGGAGCAGACAGGCGCGGCTCATGGCTTCCTCCTGATTTTCTGGTCTCTAAGAGTTCCCCTTTGAGCCCCGATCTGTGACACAGGAAGTGCCTGTCTCTCTAGGTTCATCGGAACGTTTACAGTTAACGCAGACCTTTCCACCAACGAGCAGGATCGCCTGCAGACTACCCTGGAAAGGAGGATTGCGATCTACTCTGCGCGAAATGACGAAGAGTTGGTCCACGTGAGTGACGTCTCCTCCCTGGCGGCTCTGTAGCTGGTGCGACGGCAGTTGTGTGGCGACGGCGTGCCCTGCTTGTCAGGGTGTTTCCTTACTCAGTCCTCGTTGGGGAAGAACAGAAGTGTAGGCACTGAAGCTGGGAGTGGAGTTTTTCTTGATAACCCGCTCGGTGCTGGAGTAGGCCCCGCTGCTAGGCTGCGGCTTTGCTAGCGTTTTGTGGAGGGTTTCGCATGTCTAGTCCTGCGCGCCGTCTTCAGCCCCCCGAGGTCTGCTTGGCTTGGGTGCCGGGAATGCTGGCCTCAAAGATTGAGCCGGAAGCGGCCCCTCAGCCTTCTGTGTTTGGAAGTTTGAAAAGTTGGTGCTGATTCTTAGGTGTTTGGGAGAACCCACCAGTGAAACCACCTAGCTCTGGGCTTTCCTTGTTGGGAGCTTTTTGATTTCTGCTGCCATCTCTTGTTAGAGGTCTGTTTAGATTTTTTACTTTTCCATTTTGTCTGTCTGTTTTCAGGGTCTTTCCGTGTCATGTGGTGATCTGATTTGCTGGCTTAGCATACAGCTTGGAACTTGACTTTTCCTCTTGACACACAGTGACAGTGGCTGTGAGAGACGGTGTCCGGCGAGGCGGGGCGCAGTCGGGCAGCACCGGCGCACGCCGTTGTGCGTGGAGCTCTCTCTAGTTCGAGGCCTTGCCCTGGGGCTGCTGTAGACGAAGGGATCTAGGTTAAGAGAAGCCACTCAGCCCCTGGTGACTACTTTGTCACACGGAAGCCGGAGCCGGGCCCCTGTGCCTGTCGTGTGCCGGGAAACCGAGGCGAGCGCGTGCAGCTGTGCGCCGGCCCACCGCGTGCTCTCCCTGGGCCCGAGGAGATGGGACGCCCGCCCACGCCCTCCCCCTGCTCCAGGGTCCAGCCCAGGCCGTGTGTTTGGCTGTCCTGTCTCCCTAGTCTCTCCCGGGCTTTCTAGAGTGCGCGGCGTGACCGCCACCTTTAGGCGAGTACAGCCAGGGTTTTGCAGTGTCCCACACTCTGGGTTTCTCTGAAGTCTTTCATTCCCTCTGTTTTTGACTCCAAAAGAAACAAGATAAAAATAATTACTTTTCTGAAGATAAAATGGCTTTTTCCAGAAAACTGCCTTCCAGCTGCGGCCGTCCCCAGGGCTTTCCTGTAGGTGTGACAGTCAGAGGCGGCTTCGAGGTTCCGAGACCAGCGTGGAGATAGTGCTCGAGTGCGCTCTCATGGCCGCGATCTGGGGAGTGAACTCTCGGGGGCCCCTGCCTCACAAGGCAACAGTTTGTAGAACTGCAGCCTCCACTTGAAAGATTCAGGGGAAAGTGGACTACGGGGGTGGCTTCAGGAACTGATGAGGAGACGATGTTTTCTACTTTTCCTTCCCAAAGTGATGTTCATTTTCTTATTTTAATTATAATGTTGAGCACGCAACAATTAGAAGATATGTAAGTCGGGGGAGAAACCTACCTGTGACACGCACTACCCAGGGTACGGACCTTTCTCACACGTATGTGTGTGCTTACGCTGACATTCAGCTTTTTCTTATAAAAGCGAACATCATACTTCAAGAAAACCTCTCTTTTCCCCTGACATCTGGAGGTGGTAAGATAGTCTGAGCAGCGGCGCCCCGCCGTGTCCCGGCTCCAGTCTCCCCGAGACGCTCGCTGTTTCTGGCGCCCCTGGTGGGAGTCAGCCCGCAGCCAGCAGCGCCGGCTCAGCTAATTCTCAGTTCCTGCCTTCGGTAAAGAACTTCTTTCCTACTGTAGATATTTTTGCTGATTCTCCGGGCCCTGCAACTCCTGACCCGACTGGTAGTATCTCTACAGCCCATTCCCCTGAAGCTGGTGGCGGCAAAGGTGAGGGTCTCCGTGTTGCAGAGCAAGGGGTGGGCCAGGTGGGGGCGAGACAGCAGCCGTAGATGCTTCTGTCGCTGGGCTGCCTGTGAGGGTGTCGTGGGGCAGGGCGGGCGCGGGGGGGACCTGGCAGCCTGCTTGAGCTCTCGCCTCCTTGTTGCTTTGGTTTCTGCTCTGGAAAGTGGTAGAGGGTACCTGCTTCCTCACCAGCCCTTGGGCGATGGTGGGCGACGGACTGATTCTGAGATTCTCTCAGGGGCCAGACACTGCTCCTTGAGGAGCTCACATGGTTGGAGACCTGAGGGTCCAGAATTAAATAATTTATGTATTTTTAAAAAGATTTATTTATTTGTGCATACAAGAACTGTGGTACAGGCCAGAGGTGCGGGGGCAGAGGAGGGTGTGGGTGAGAGGGTTCACCAGAGACAGTGGGGAGCAGAACAGGTGGACTGTCTGAAATCCACTGTGGAGGGGAGTAGCGGGGAGACAGGAGAGGTCTGTTGAGCTTTATGGGTCACCTCCTTGGCTGGGGATCGAACTCGTGCTGCAGTGGCTGCGGACCGCTTCATAGCACTGAGACTTAATCCCTTAATCCCATAAATTGGGAGGCCCAATTTATGTATTTTTAAAAAAATAATATAATAGTTTATTTTTACATCATTTTGTGCATTTCAGTTTATGTATTTTTAAAACCAGTTTCATTAAGTCCACAGCACTTGTCTGCAGAATGCATTCTGTGTAAGGTGGGGGTTACTTGGTAACCTGTCACAGGATGGATATGAGGCCGAATGGGCATTGGAACCAGGTTTATTGTTTCTGCATCCTTTACCATGCTACTCTTTGGGATGAAAGAATTGTGCTGTGGCCTCCCCTGGGGCTGTAGCTCCTAGTGAACCGTTTCTTGCACCCTGAGAGTAGGCAGTCCGTCCGTGTCTGAGCTGGGGGTGTCTGTGGACCTGACTCTGCCCAGCGACTTGACCCTGTTACATTCCGGGATCCCTGTCCTGTCCTTCGTGAACAAGTAAACACAGACTTTCCTGTTCTGTTTAAGGGGAAGAAACCATCTAAGGAGAGATCCACAGAGGGGCCTGGAAGTTCCTCAGAAACTTCTAACCCACTTCCAGAAAACCAGACTAAACCAAAGACCAGCAGAGGAAGCAGACGAGAGGGACCTTCCTCTCGGGGTCCAAGTGCCAAAGGGAAGAGGAGCCAGGCAGCCGCTGTTGGGAAGAACCGGCGAGAGCCCTCGTCCAGCGAGGAGGAGGAGGGCGGGGTGGGGGAGTCCGAAGAAACCCCCAGACGCCAGCCTAGCCGGGCGCGGCGGGTAGCCCCCAGGGTGTCTTACAAGGAGGCAAGCGGGAGTGATGAGGCTGGCAATGACTCGGACTTCCAGCCTTCCAGCGGGGACGCCGGCCCTCCATCTGACGAGGACTCTGAGCCTGGTGCTGGGAGCGGGAGGGCCCCGGCCCTGCCGAGGAGAAAAGCCAGGTCTAAGAGTGATTCCGGGACCCCACGGGGAGGCCACCCTCAGCACCCAGGTTCTCCAGCAGCTTCTGCAAGCTCTTCGAGCAGTAAGAATAAGAGAGGCAAGAAAGTTTCCAGTGAAGGTGAGGAGACAGAAGGAGGGAAAGCATCTGGTGTAGATCAGTGGCTCGAGGTGTTCTGTGAGCAGGAAGAAAAGTGGATGTGTGTGGACTGTGTGCACGGGGTGGTGGGCCAGCCTCTCACCTGTTACAGATACGCCACCAAGCCTGTGACCTACGTGGTGGGCATCGACAACGATGGCTGGGTCCGGGACGTCACTCAGAGGTACGACCCAGCTTGGATGACGGCGACCCGCAAGTGCCGGGTTGATTCTGCGTGGTGGACTGAAACCTTGAGGGCGTACCAGAGCCCGCTGGTGGACAGGGCAAAGAAAGAAGACTTGGAGGTAAGGCCCAGCCGCCAGATTCAGTGATCCAGTCCTGGCCGGGTTATCGAAGTTGCTCCCACTGTCAGCACCTGGTGGGTATTTTCAGGTGTTGTTTAATGATCACAACGGCTCTGTGAAGCTGGGTAGGAGCTGGAGAGTAAGTGACTTGGTACCTGAACCCGGGTCTCTGACTTTGAAGCTTGTGCGCTTGGAGTTATTGCCCATACAGACCTGGCGTCTGAGACCAGTGCATGGGCCCCAGCTGCAGGCGAAAGAAGAAAGTCTCCTCAGTATGTGGCCACACCCCCTGCCCCAGCCCCCTGCATCCTGCTCACATGAGCCCCCAAGCAGACGTGCCTGCCTGACCGGAACACTCCTGGGGGTGGAGGGGCTTGGAGTGAGGGGCTGTCTGCAGTGAGTGCCAGGCACCGCCATGACTGGGCCTGTACCAACCACTGACCGGGAGGAGACCTGAGCTGCCTGTGCCTGGCGCTGTTCTTTTATACCAGTAGGCCCAGAGTGGCAGAAGCCCCTCAGCACAGGCTGAGTGTTCCTGAGAGCTGGGTGGTTCTGCCCCATCCTGTTCGCTTTACTCAGAAACCACAGGCGGAGTGGCAGTGCCAGTGGCCTGTGAGCACCCGGTGAAGGTGCTCACCCCGGATGGGGCCTGCGGCGGGTGCCCTGCTTCAGGCTACCTGGCATGGTGGCCCTCACCGGCCTATGTGGGGTTTCGAGACTGCTGACTAGGAGGTGACTCACCCACTGAGGAGGCAGGGTCCCTGAAGAGGTGCAAGAGCATGTGCGTTAGTGACAGCGTACGTAGGGAAGGTGCGGGGTGCACGCAGAGCCAGGAAATCCAGCTCGGAGCAGTCACAGGACCAGGCCTCCCGAGGACGCCAGGCAGTCGGCTCCCCGGCTTTCCCAGTCCAGCGGGCTCTGCCCTGGGAGAGGGCTGGCTCCAGGCTCTCGGCTGGGCGGAGATCGGGTGGAGGTGCTGCAGCCACAGAATTACGTGGTTACCGCTGTCGATTTCCAAAATCTGAGGCTGAGGCAGGAGTGACAGCTCCCGGTGCTCCTGCACCTCTGCTCTGGCCTCTGTCTGCAGAGCCAGCTGGGGAGAGGCTCTCCCTCCCAGACCTCACTGCTGAACTCTGCTCGCTGCTCTCTTTGGCTTCTGCAGTTTCAGGCAAAGCACCTGGACCAGCCTTTGCCCACATCCATTGGCACGTACAAGAACCACCCCCTGTATGCCCTGAAGAGGCACCTCCTGAAATACGAGGCCATCTACCCCGAGACCGCCGCCATCCTCGGCTACTGTCGCGGGGAGGCGGTCTACTCCAGGTGCGTGCAGCACTGGCTTCCATCCCCCAAAGGCGGGAAGTCCCAGTTAGCTCTTTGCCTAATGCAGCTCCCCTGCTTCGCTTAGGAGCAAAGCCGCCCCCGGGCGTGAGGCGCAGCCTGAGAGGGAGTGATAGCTGCCTTCTTCTGCATGGCCGAGGGCTCTCCTGGCCTGCAGTTCTGTGCAGTCGAGCTCCGTCAGGCAGGTGTGAACCAAGCTTGTCCTTTGTCTGCAGAGACTGCGTGCATACCCTGCATTCCCGGGACACGTGGCTGAAGCAGGCGAGAGTGGTGAGGCTGGGAGAAGTGCCATACAAGGTACCCAGGGCTGGGGGGGGGGCGGTCCTCTGGGAGTAGCGGGGCATTGGCTGAGGCAGTGGGGGCCAAGGGCTGCAGGCACGTGCCAGCATTGGATTCCAGAATGGTGCCCCTGTCCTCGGAGGATTTGAGGAGAGAAGCATTTAAGTTAGCTTTTATTTTAGTGAGAATTTGTAAGAGATGGATCTTCCTGAGCATGCAAGAAATCTAGGTCAGAAGCAGCCCTCAGATTCCTGTGTGTGCTCCAAGACTAGCTAGAACCATGTTAGTGAGTGGCTTGAGCTGGGCTTTCCAGACTTGTAAAGCCACCAGTCTCCACCACCGTCCCACTTCACACCCTGCTATTTCCCCCGGAGAGATTTCCACCGTCGAGTTGGCATTCAAGACCAGAAAACAGGAGTTCAGGGAGGGAAAGGGATTTATCAAAGGCTTTCCAGTGAGTGACCTGGCAGCGGCTGGGTGGAATCCCAGACCCAGCCTCCTCCAGGGGCTGCCTCCTCACAGCTGCAAGAAACATGAACTCAGTGCAGCGCTGGGTGGGCGCAGAGACCCCGGCTTCTCTGTCCTTCCCTGAGAGGGGGCCTCTGGGGTTGTGCCACTGGGGAGCTGGGCAGGGTTGACCCCAGAGGCCTGTCTGGCGTCACTGGGAGTGAGCGGCCCTGCAGCTGGAACCTGAGGTTTCCCAGGGCCACTCTCACGCGCCTCACCTCTTCCTTCTGCAGTGGCACTGACGGAAATGTAATGCCAGCCACACTTAAACCTCTTAATACCCGATCAAAACCTTAAAGAAGCAGGTGGGATTTCAACATAGCAAAGTACATTGAAATCCCTCTAATTACATACCATCTCAGTAGTTAATGTTTTAGAATATGAATGAACATCTTTTTTTTTTTTTTTCAATGAAGTCTTCAAATTCTCTTGTGTATTTGGTTTCACGATCTGGCACGTATTTGTCTTTCCTTGCATCTCAGCTCAAACTAGCCACGTCTCAGGTATATATGGTATATATGGGCCACACCACAGTGGTTGTCATGTTAACACAGTTCTAGAATAACCCCACACCTCAGGCCCATCCCTGCGCTGAGCACTATTGTCCAGCTTCGTCTCTGCTTCATCATGCGTCGCTGATGCCCTCCCCGGGTCCTGTCCCTTCAGACTACTCTGTTGTGGGCTCTTTAGAAACACAGCTGCCCACGTCCCTGGTTATCCAGGTTCAAATCCGGCCCTGGCCCTCCCTGACCACGACCTTAGGTGCCTTCAGTTCTGAAGCCTGGTTTCCCTTTTGATGGAAGATAGGCAGTGGGACAGGGCCAGCCCAAGCACTTGGCCTCCAGCTGGCTAACTGGGGAGCCCACACTGCCTGGGGTGGGCACTCGGTGGCTGTAAGTGGTGCGGCTGGCATTAGTGAGGCCAGATGTGTTAGCTCTAGTCAACATAAACAGGGATGAAAAGCACAGCTGGCCCTCCCTGGTGGCCCAGCGGGTTAAAGCGCAGCACTGCAGAGCTGGCTGCAGCGGCTTTAGCGGCTTCAGCACGAGTTCGATCCCCACCAGGGACTGACCCACCTGGCGTGGCAGACCTCTCCTGTCTCCCCGCTGCTCCCCTCAGCAGTGTACTTTTTTGATCTGCCTGTTCTGCTCCCCACTCTCTCTGGTGAATCCTCTCACTGCCCCTGCACCTCTGGCCTGTACCCCAGGTCTGTATACAGAAATAAATAAAACCTTTTTCTAAAAAAAGTGCAGGCATCTGGGTAGTGAGCGCTGAATGAGGAGCGGAGTGTGGGGGCCTGGTATGCAGGAAGCACGGGAGTTCTGGCCAGTGAGTGGCACCTGCTTCCTTCGGCCTAGATGGTGAAAGGCTATTCCAATCGGGCACGGAAGGCCCGACTCGCCGAACCCCAGCTGCAGGACCAGAACGACCTGGGCCTGTTTGGCCGGTGGCAGACGGAAGAGTACCAGCCGCCTGTGGCCGTGGATGGCAAGGTGAGGCCCTGTTTGGTGGGTCAGGCCGGCCTCTGCTTATGGCAGTTGCCGACCTGGGTGTGGCCCCTCTGCAGGTTCCCCGCAATGAATTCGGGAACGTGTACCTCTTCCTGCCCAGCATGATGCCTGTCGGCTGTGTCCAGCTGAAACTACCCAACCTGCACCGTGTGGCCCGCAAGCTGGACATCGACTGTGTCCAGGCCATCACTGGCTTCGACTTCCATGGAGGCTACTCCCACCCAGTGTGCGTGAGCCCCACTCCTCGGAGGCTGCAGGGACAGGGTGGGAAGTTTGGGGCGTGGAGGCAGGTAACGCCAGGGGCCCTTGTTTCCAAGGCTTTAGCTGGGTTTCCCTTCACAGCTAAACACCTCTGCACACTTGCTTTTCCGTTTACTCCGGCTTTCATCTAGAGGCTGCAAAGCCAATGAAGCGAGCCTCCTGACGGTGCTGGGCAGGAACACTTCACGGCGGCACCGGCATCCTTTGTCCAGCGGCGGGGCGGGGAGGGCTCTTGGAGAGGAAGGTGCGGTGCCAGTGCCTGTAGGCCTGCTTTCTGCTGGGTGCTGCCTGCCGGCAGCTGCGGCTGGGATTGCAGATCGCGGTCCTTCAGGACCGGGGTGTTCACAGTGACCGCTGACCTCTGAGGAGGAGGAGTAGAGGCCAGAACATGTGGCAGGTGCCGGGCAGACTCTGTTTTGTCCCCACAGAACTGATGGATACATAGTCTGTGAGGAATACAAAGAGGTGCTCATGGCCGCCTGGGAGAATGAGCAGGCTCTCATTGAGAAGAAGGAGAAGGAGGTAAGCAGCCCTGGGGTCGCCCTGAGGTGGGAGAGCAGGTCGCCCGGGGGCGCAGGCACGCAGTGGGGCCGCCTGCCTCCCCAGGCCCCGCCTGCTGTGTGTAAAAGGAGAAGGTGCATGGTCTAAGCTCCTTCCAGCCCTCTCACCCCAAGGAAGGTACCCCAGGGAGCCGGCACTGGACAAAGCAGGGTCCTGCCTCCATCAGATCCCGGCGTCACCGCACACCAGGCGCTGCGGCCCGTGCGACGCCCGCCTCTGCTGGGGGATGTGGGTCCAGGTCCTGATGGCTTCAGTGTCAGTGACAAGTAGAGGAGACTTGTTCGTTGACAAGCTGTCTCTTCACCGAAGATATTTCATACCCCTGCGAGTTCATGTGTCTGGACATTTTTTCTGACCTGGCTGTCCTTAAATTTCTGTTTCTCCATTTCTGCAGAAAAGGGAGACACGGGCTCTGGGGAACTGGAAGCTGCTGGCCAGAGGCCTGCTCATCAGGGAGAGGCTGAAACTGCGCTATGGGGCCAAGGTCAGTGGGGTCCTTTGTCCAGCCGAGCTCTGCTGGGGAGGAGACTGACTCCTCTGACCCAGCCATCAGTCGCTGTTACGTGGATGCCACAGTTGCCAGGGTCCAGGGCCATGTCCTGTTCCTTGGCCAGTGGCAGGCGGAGGTCTGCCAGCCCTGCCTCAGCATGCCCTTGTCAGCAGCCCCACGGTGGGTCCTGACTGGCCTCAGGCCCGTATGGGAAGGCCTGGGACCAGCGTCCTGTGTGTCTGACGCACGCTCGGACTCCTGACGAGGTGGCTGTTGTCACCCTTGAGGCTGAGTGCTCCTCTCTGCCTCTCGGGGCTCTGGGTACAGGCCAGGCCGCCCACACGTGTGCCACTGACCTGCCGCCCTCGGGGGGTCCCATCTGGAGGCAAAGTGGCCCCTACACAGTTCTGTAGTGTGTGCAGTCCTGGGTCAGTGGCAGCAGAAGCATGTTGAGGGGGCAGCTGTGCCCGTCCTGTGGCCCTCCTTCCCGGCCCCACACGCCTATTTTTGTTGTGCTTCTCCCTGAGCTCCCTCAGTGCCCCCTTCCTGGCTTTATGTGCTGACTGGCTCCTTGCCCACCCTTGCTCCCACCCTCTGCACCAAACCCCCATCAGCCTCAGAGAACCTGGCATTTGGGCAGTTGGTCGTACGCACTCTTCTTGCTCAGATGAAGAAATACAGAGGCCTGCTTTGGGCTCTAGGCTTGCATCCTCCAGGGCATCCCCCCGCCTGGACCGCTTTGTGCCCGCACAGTGAGTGCTGGGCATGTTCTGTGGTGTCTGCTGGGAAGACCCCCCCCAGACAGAGGTAGGCTCAGACCAGGAAGCTTTAGCTGGCCCCGCTGAGCCTCAGCCTTCCACACGCAGCTTTGGGAGGCCTCTGCTGGGAGCTTTACTGCCCCCTGGTGGCCCTTCCTGGAGTCTGCTCTCTGACCCAGACCTCCCCACCGACTCTCTCCAGAGTGAGGCAATGGCTCCCCACACAGATGCCGGAGGTGGACTCTCATCTGACGAAGAGGAGGGAACCAGCTCTCAAGCGGAAGCAGCCAGAATCCTGGCTGCCTCCTGGCCCCAAAACCGAGAGGCTGAAGAACAGAAACCTAAGTGCCCTAACAAGACCAAAAGGGGGAAGAAGGAGGCGGCTTCTCACCTGTTCCCATTTGAGAAGCTGTGATGAGTGGCTGGCACGGTGCAGCCTCCTGCCTGTGCCAGGTGGTGGCGTCTCTCAGGAAGGCACGCGCTGCGCACACAAACCCGGGTGGAAGGGCCACACCGAAGGGGGCAGGCTGGCCGGGCCCAGCCCTGAGGGTGCGGCCAGGGCCAGGGCTGGGCTTTGCTAAGCTGCTGGCTGCCTGGCGCCTTCAGCTGCAGGAGGTTCCCCGACACCCTTACCTCACATTTCTGGGAACAGGAGTCAGTTCTTTCATAGCTTCACCTGGGGATCTTGGGGAATCGCGGACATACCTGTCCTTTCTTCAGGTAGATTATTCATCTGTTGGGCATCAGTGCTCATCTCCCTTGCTGACTTAGGACTCCTTCTCTGTAGGCCACACTTTCCCTCCGACAGGTTCTCTCTGCTGCCTACTGCTGCCTCTGTAGAGTGGGAGAACACGAGTGGGCAGTAAGGTCCATTCAGACCATGGTATTGTGGGCGGGACCCACCGAGGGGGCAGAAGATTGGAACAAGCAAAAATCAGAAAGAAAGGGGAAGACAGGAATTGAAAAAGAAATGTAGCAAAAGCGGATCGATGTTCAGCTAGATTTGGTTCCTGGATACTATGCACTGTAGATCCTCGAGAAAAGTAACTTTTATAGCAGTTGAGAAAAATTAAAGCAATTGTCTAAAAAGCCCTGGCTGTGCACTTTCATTCCGATTTGGGACATCCGTGGGTGACAGTGACTTGTGCATGTCAAGCCTGTGATAACTACAGATTGTCCTCGTGTAGGCTGGGAACTCCGCACACACAGAATTTTCTTGTGTTTAAGTGAGGAGATACTACTTAATTTGTCAGGAACCATTAAAAGTGTGAGCCAGTTTTATGCAAAGGAAACCAAACACTTGGGCTGTGACTCATGTAGCGAGTGGCCAGAAGGCCTTGCCGCGAAATAAACGGTCATGGGAGCCGAGGCTGGGCACTTCCTGCCCGGGCCCGTCCTCACTGGCTTCTGGGAATCGAGCAAGAGCATCACACTGTCCTGCAGAGGGAACCTGGTGTTGGGGCAGATTCCGCTAGGAGGCAGTTTGGGGATGAAATGAAGCACCGGGGTTCAGAAATGGAAGAACAGGCTTGGGGCTCGGCTGCCTCCATCCTTGTGTTGGGAACATAAAGTATACAAATTGCCAGCTGCACAGGGGACCGGCAGCTCATTGCCTTGGGGCAAAGAGAGTTAAGAATATTGCTGCTCTGGCATTTCCTGGGCTTCACCATTTAGTAGCAGCAACCCTGGCAGCAGGACGGTCCTGTGCCCCATTTTACAGATGAGGAAGCTGAGCGTCTGACCGCTGACTTGGCCAAGGTCACACAGCCTGTCAGGGGCAGGCTTGGGGCTCGGCTGCCCCGGGGTCCAGAGCCTCCACGCCCCCCTTGCTGGCCCGGTGCAAAAGTGGATGAAGTATGAGTCATTCACTTTAAATAAATCCAGAACAAACAGGTTTTGGTATGCGAGGCATCTAAAGGCTAGGAATATCAACGTTTAAAAATTGAAACCAATTTTAGCCACTAAGAGCAACTCGGTTTTTAAAATTCTCACAGTTCTTCGTAAATTCTATACAAAAGAAATTTTAGAAACAACCCAAAACAAAAAAGTTACAAGGTGCTTGTATGGGAATAACAGCAAGGTCCCATATCAAGATATTTTGAAATTTATTTTGAATTTATCAAAAATACAAATAATACAAATTTCATGATTACTTTCCAAAGATACCAAATGTTTGTTGACTTAATTTGCTCTCATGAACACTTTTGAAATTAACAGTAATTTAAAATAAGTACGAGAAAAGTCACACAGACCAAATTCTAAGGGACTTGAGTTTAGCCATCCACTAGCTATACTTTGTCTCCCAAAGGCATCCTGGATTTAGAGTTTGGACAAAACCATGTAATGAGCGGTAATGAATACAGTTTCAGCCCTTCAGCCCAGATAGGTCATTTCTGGGGCTGCTTTTGAACATGGGGGATTTCAGTTGACAGCACAGATCCCCCAGGACGAGGCATTACTACTAGATCTTTGGTTTCAGACGTTCTGACCCTTTGCTCAACCACCAAATACTTAACTTGCTGAAGCAAACCACACCCAGAAAAACAGAACAGAAAGGCTGTGAAGATCTTTAGGACCATACGGTTATAACACACTTTCTCTCTCACAGGGTGTGAGAGTACTTAGGAAACTAATGAGCCGATACGAATTAAGCAAGCACAAATTTATCTAGGAACAGTAAAGCTGTGGCCAAGTAACAGGTGGAAGCCGGCTCAGAAGCAGCCGCTGCAGGCCGGGGCCGGGGCCCAGGACGGAGGCGCAGGGCGGCGCCCTCTCCAGCAGCCTGAGCTGCTGCCGCCCCATTTGGCTAGCTGGGGGTCACCAGGAAGGCGCCCACTTGGCAAAAGGAAGACTCCAACCTTGCCTTACTTGGCTGACTTAAAACTCAGTCCTCTTCAAGTAAACCGTTTCTGGAGCCAGAGGGTGACAAGGAGAGCCTCTCCCGGAGCCACTCGCCCTCTCCTGGAGCGAAGACAACTCTGCTACTTGTTTCTAAAGCATCTTAGGCTTCCCAGTGACCGAAACACTGACAGGTAGCTTTTCCTACCGTGTATATTACACCCTCATTTAACACCTCCTGTGCTCTGAATTGACTTCAGCTGACCAGAAAAAGGGTGCTTTTCTCTAATAGTTGGAAACGGTCATCTCAGGTTTTTTGTTTTCCCCTACAACTTCTCAGAGGAGAGTGGAAGGACGAGGTGAAGTAACAGAGAAAATGAACCAGGGTCTGCAGAGTCCAGCGCTCAGAGTCCTGCCCAGCTACGGGCCAGCAGGCCAGCGCAGCACCGCCCGGTTTTCCTCTTCATGCCGCCGCCGGTGGTTTTCCTGCTTCAAGCGCCAAGGCAAGCTGCAGCCACAAACCTGGCGTGGGCGGGGCCCGTGCCGCCAGTCATCTTGGTGCTGGGGTAACCACTGGCAGTGTGGCCGCGGGACATCAAGGCGGGCGCAGGGCCGGGGGGGGGGCAGCAGGGTGGTGTCAGCGCCTTGTCTGCAGACATTGGCTCAGTGAAATGTGAACCGGCCATGGGGAGTTCCCAAGAGAAGGAAGGAAACGAGCGGAGAGCTCGTTGTGCTGCCAGGCGAGAGCTGCCCTCTGCCCCAAAGCTGCTCGCTGGCAAGAAAGGAGCAGGAAAGACGTAACTGCAGGACACCAAATCCAAACACATGCGCGCTGTCGGTCAGGCCCTCTGAAGAGCAGAGTGGGTGCAGAATCCAAAACATCCGGGGTCATGCTCCAGGTACGGAGCTCGGAGGAGCGGGTGGCCCGGACCCCGAGGTCCTGGAGTCCATGTGGGGCTCGGCTGCCAGGGTTCGGCTCACTCCAGCTTTTTGGCGGGCACCCGGGTCCGAGCAATGATGATGGGCACCAGGGCCAGGGAGCCAATGAAGAGAGCCCACAGGGGCCGATAGAAGAGCCAGCCAGCGGCCACGGTCAGCAAGGTCAGCGAGGTGGCCACACAGAAGGCAAAGGCTTTCAGACCAATGTTGACCAGGTCTCGGAAGACGGGGAACCAGTCCACTGTGGGGGAGAGAAAGGCAGTGAGGCCACCGTGCTGTCACGAGGTCAGCGATGGTGCCGGCCTCGGGATCAGGCTGGGCCCTGGGTGCAGGTGGGTGAGGGAGAACGGTAATGGGGCAGCAGATCCTCCCGCAGGAGAGCTGAAGACCCAGACGAGGGTGGAGCCGTGTGGCTGGGCACCCCGTGCTGCCAGGGGCAGGCCCGCGAAGTGCTGCCTAACCTCAAGACACTCCCAGGAGCAGTGCGGAATCAGCCCCGAGCGGTTCCCCATAACGCCCGTTACCAGCATTTACACCGTTAGCGCTGACAGAGACCTGCGCGCCCAGTGTGTGTGTGGGGGGCGGGGGGGCTGAGGGAAGCAAATTAGTCCAACCAGCCCTGCCTCAAGGATGCACAGGGACTGGCCCGATGTGACTTTAAAACCCAGCTGAACCCACCTGGAATTCCTGTCCCTGGCCTGTCCAGCCTTCCCAGGTTGGCATTCTGTACTGCTGCCCTCTGGGGGATCACCAGTTCCCAGGGGCCCCCAGTCCACTGACACTGTGCTTGCAGAGCAAACTCTGGTGCCCTGTCCTTTCTGCAGAGCCCCCCAAAGGCCACCTTGTGGCTCTTCTTGGTCTAGTTCCATGTCGCACCCATCTTGGGCCCTCAAAATAAGCAAGAGTTCCTGGTGCTGGCTACCACCTCAGCAGCCCTCACACCCACCTCTAAAGGCGGCCCTGTTCTCAGTCCCTGCCACTGCAAGGTCACTGACACCCAAGGAGTCCAGCAGCTAGAAAGTATCCGAGACCGTGAGCCCGAGCTCACAGCCCAGCCTGAGGGACAGGGCCCTTGTCCGGCCTATTCACGCAGGCGCCCTAGGGCCCAGAGGAGTGTCTTTACACAGCAGGCACCCAGGCAGTTTTCACTGAAGGCACAGAGGAACGAATGCTCCTGCACTGCAGCCTCCTGAAGGTCCTGCCTGCACTCTGGATCCCTCCCTGCAAGGCTCTGTCCTGAGTCTGGAGCGCCCACATTCCAGAAGGAGAGAGCTCCCGAGGACCAGGCGGTCAGAGATTCAAAGAAGCGCCCTGTGAGACAGCCTCAGCCTCACCTCGCCAGGGGCCTCGGCCCGCGCAGGGTCACGTGGCCAGTGCCCAGGGGAGACGGTCTCTGCTTCAACTCTGGCCTCTACTGAAGGGCGCCCAAGAGGCACCATTTGGGCGCTTCCCCTCCCTCTGCCTCAGCTTTCCCGTCTGTAAACGAGGGCGTGGCCCCAGTTCAGACAGCCTGGTGGGCAGTTACCAGAGCACTGCTTGACCGGAGCAGGCAGTGGGAACAGTTGCACTGGCATGGTGGAGGCTGGGCAGAATCAGCGCCTGGACAAGGACATGTCGGGACAAAGACTCTTCCCAGCCAGGTAAGCGGAACACATCCCCATCACCCCGGGCTCAGCGCTGGCCAGACTGGCCCTGGCCAGTCACCCCTGGCCACCCCAAGGCTTGCTGGTTCCAAGCTCAGGTGGAGCGTCCTGGTAACTTCTGCGTGAGAGGCTGGTCACCCACATGCAGGTCTCAGGGAGAGCAAAGGCCCACAACAGGCTTTAAGCACTTCCCGTCTGCAAGCATTTTACAACAATCTGCCCAGCAGGAGTGAGGTGAGAGAAGCTTGGAGGCAGGGCCTGCCCAGCTGTGTGGAGCTGACCGCACAGCCTGCCACTCACCAGGCTTTCCGTGGAAGAGCAAGCTGAGGACAGATGGGTGAGGGGTGAGCGCAGCCCCTACCAGTGCGCCCCCACTGCCTGAAAGCATCCACCTCATCCCTGCCTTCCTGCTACTCTGCACCCAGGCAGCACCCCAAGGCTGGGAGAGCTGTAGCCTGCCACGTGAGAAGCAGTGGAGGCGGTGGGCTTGCAGGAAGGTGGGTGAGATGCCCCCACCTACCCAGGGTATAGACGATCCGTGTCATGAGGTTGAGGCCCATGAACATGGCCATCCAGCCCGCAGCGCGCAGGCCCCAAGTCTTCAGGGAGTTGCTCTTCTGCTCTCTACGAAACACCTCCTGCGGGAAGGGGAGTGGTGTCTCAGAAGTCATGTCTCATTTGCCGGGCAGATGGCCAGGGGTCGGGCCCACCAGGAGCCAGTGGACATTCTGAACAGACCAGTAGGCGGTGAGGCACCTGGGCCACCCTCTAGCTGCCCTGCCCGGTGGGCACAGCAGGGAACCAGCCACAGACCTTTGTGGGAGGGACCAGAGCCCTCCTCCTTCAAGAGCCCTGGGCCCACGCCGCCTCCTCCCATGGCTCACAGTGCCCGTCCAGCAGGCTGGGAGGTGGCAGCCCCACCCCCCAGTTGGGAACCGGGCTCCTGGGCAGCAGCTGACCATGCCCCCATCCTGGCCAGATAAAGGAGGGGCTCGACTCCAGCCCCACCACACCATCTGGGGCAGGGTTCAAGTGAGAGGCATGACCGCTGAGCACTAGTAATAGGTGAAAGGGTCACAGCTACACCCTGGCACCAACATGCTTTTCCCTTCCTAGCCCTTCTGGGTGAAACGTCCCCCTCTGGCCAGTACAGAAAGTCCAGCCAGTGATACACCATGTTCATCACCAGCACAGTAAAAATGGGACTTTTCTGTTGAAGACCAGTCTTCCCTTCCCAGAGAGGAGACGCTGACGTTAAGGCGCACAGCTGAACGGGTCGGCACTCTTGCCCCTGGGACTCAGGTATGCAACAACTCTGCTGTCCCACGGATGGGGATGGCCATCTGCAGGGCACTCGCCCTCACCGCAGAGCTTGGGTGACCCTAAATCAGCAGCACCCCTCCAAAGGCACCTCCCCTGCCCCTCTTCTCTGGGCAATGGCCACTCCAGGTGCCCGTGACTCTGAGCCTCAACCTTCTCTTTTCACCTGAGACACAGCAGATGTAAGGAGAGAGGCCTGTGACCACTGTGCATCACTTCCTGTGGGGCGGTAGGTTTATCTCAGAGCATCTGCCTCCCCTTCAAAACACCCCGTATGGAGGCCCTGACTTACTTGTTCTTTGGACTGAGCTCTCTTCTCAAGGCAAAGGGGAGCAGCCTGTTCTGCTCACTGTTCCACCCTGAGTGCCAGCACCATCAGCACAGGGAGACTGGTGTTCCCATTTCTTTTTGCTTGCCTCACCGCATGGCCATGCTCGCTAAATGACCACCTGAGGGCTGCGGAAGGCACGCGCCGGGGCACATAGCTCACCTCTGCCGAGAAGTCCCCATGATGCAGGAGAAGCAAGGTGTCTCCAGACTTGGTGGAATACGGGCCCAGCTGGTCGCCCCGCTGCCGGGCAATCACGGTGACCTGGTCAAAGGTTTCATATTAGGGCTGAGGAAGGTGCTCAGCCTGCTCGGTCCTGGCGTTCTCCTTAGGAGTCAGTGGAAGACTTGCCACCCCAGATCTGCAACCAAGCTGCTGCATGTGAAGCTCTAGGGAGGCTGCTGGGCAGCAGCAAGGCTGAGGTGGGCTGCACATGACAGGCTGAAGCCTGAAGACCAAGTATTCACAGAGCAAAGAAGAGGGCTGCATGTGATGAGAAGAACTCTCGTTAGGCAGTTAGGTCGCTCATAGGTTGTGTCACTTAGGACACAGAGTTCAACGGGGGGCAGACGGGTTTCTGAAGTAGGTAGGCCTGACTGTGGGAATGTGAGCGCCTGCATGCACTTCCTTGGGGAGGGCCAGAGCACTCACAACACCACCCAGGGTACTGAGTCCAATTTGCTTAGGAAGCCCTGACTGTCCACCCGGGAGAAGCTGAATTACCACGTGAGCGGGTCCCAGGTCAGGGTGATCGCTGCTCAGCCCCGCATAGGAAAAGGAGACTCTCAGGTCTCCAACCTAGGGGAGGAAGAGGTGGGATGAGTGAGGCAAGGAGCACAGCACACGGAACCCCAGTCACTCCTCCCCACCGCCCCACCTTCGCCCAGTGGTCCCCTCACACAGAATGCTCCGCCCTAAGCACAGCGATGGATTCAAGTGAACAGAATCAGAGTTTTAAGTAGAAATTTGACTCCTATGTGTTGTCAGGAGGGAAGAAGGGAGTGGGGTGCTCAAAGGGTCCCCTTTGTACCTCTGGATACTTGGGGTTTTCACTGTGATAGAAATAGTCTCCCCGACGAAGGATGTCCACATGAGGGTCCTCCAGCTTGGACAGGCTCAGCGGCTTGAAGTTGTCAACTTTGTCGATGAGGCCTGAGAGAATCTTGTGGTTAGAAACAATGGTGTGTCCGCTGAAACCCCCTCCATCTGCAACCCCTCACCCTGGCCGCCTTTCTACCATGCCTCATGCATGACTCCAGCAGGGCTGCCTCCTCTGAGCTCACCCCTCAGGTGGAGCTTTGCACCACCACAGGGCCCTCCTCTAGCCTCACTCCTCCATGTCGCCAGGAAGCCTTGATGTCTCCCCTCCCCAAGTGACCACAGCTCATGTGTGGCCTTAGCCCTGTACCCATTCTGCCTCAGCTCAGTTCTGCACCCAAGATGGCTGCATTGCAGCACAGACTGTATTTGTGGCCAGGACTGGCTGGCACAGAAGGACTAGCTGAGCAGCAAAGTGGCCAGGCAGACAGGTCCAGCCCTAGATCACTGGGCTTCCTCCTTCACCTTGGCTACTGAGGCCCTAGGTATCATCTCTCCCAGGGACAGTGGCCTAGAAGCTGATGTGGCTAGTGGTGACACACTATCCCTTGAAAGCATCTTTTAGGTTCCCTGGAAGAGGCTGTGATGAGCCATCTGCTCCCTGGCCCAGCACTGGACACTGGGAAGGGCTCAGAGCTGGACACCTTGGAGCCGTCTCCAAGACTGCTGGTGTCTGAGGAAGAGCTCTGGGCTCTGTCTGGTCAGAAGAGGCAGCACCTGGAAGTTCTCTGAACAATTCAGGTCTCGGAGGAACCCCGCCCATGTGGGATGTTCTACGTGAGTCCCTGTCGTTGGGATGTGCTGGGCCAGAGTGATGCTGGGAAATGTGCTTGCTGCCCAGGGCAGTGGGACCCTTCAGCCCCTGGAGGCCCGAGCTGGGAGAGCCCTAGCTCCTGGGAGGTGGCTAAGCGGCACACAGCCCCTCACCTGCGAGACCCGAGACTTACCTGCTGAGAGGAAAAAGCGGCCAATTTGGACGAAGGGGGCTGTTGCTGTGAATGACTCCACTGCCATGGCACTGGGAGAGGACAGGGGGGCCATCTGTGAGGTGGGCGGCAGCAGCGGGCGCTCTGGTAGTGCTGGTCAAGGAGCTCACCCAGAGGGCTGCTGCAAGTCCAGCCAGTCCAGCACTGCAGACATCTTGTCTCTGCCGCCTGCTCCACCCCGGAGGCTCGTGCCCCTGGCCCTGGTGCTGCATTTGGTCCCCTGTGCCCCAGAGCTTCTCACCCTCTTCCCAGACCCCTCTCGGCCTGTGCCAGCCCACCAGCAGCTGTCATGAAACTGCCATGGACTTCACACCCTCACTGACCTCCCCCAGTTTAGCACATCCAAACTCCACGGTGCCCAGTCCATGCCCATCCTGGCATGGCCTGCCCACTACTGGCAGCCCACGCTACCGCTACACCCAGCGTAGGCCCACTTCACTGCTCCATCCCTGTGCTCAGCTCCCTCTGCCAAAACTTAAGAAGGCCAGATTGAATGCTGTTCCCTTAGGAAGGCCTTTCCTGATTCCTCCCACCCCCAGGGTGGATCAAACAAGCTTCCTGCAGGCAAATCCCTCAGGCACCCAGCCCCAGCCTTCTAATCCTGACTCGTGGGAGGGGAGTTTGTTGGGACAGAGCTGGTTTTGCCGATGTGTTCCCTGTGCCAGCACAGGGGCTCGCCTCAGAACCACAGCCCACATTTTCATCAATTCAACCCATTACTCAGGCGAGAAAGTGGAGGCTGGCAGTGCCAGGTTGGGGCTGCACCCACGCCCAGGGCCCAGCTCTCACCTGGGGTTTTTGTGGCCAATTTCACGGTCAAAGTTTCTGCTATTGACGATTTCTGATTTCCATTCAGTGTCTGTCATGGGAGAAGGAAAAATTTTGAAACCGTGCAAAGAGTGGCCACAGGTCTGAGGCCCGAGTCCTCTCATCCACAGCCATGTGCCCTCAGGTGCTGAAGGAGCAGTTCCTGGGGGTCGGCTGGAGAGACGGGAGGGGGCTGAGCCCACGTGCGCACAGGCATCATCAGTCCACAGGCCTGGGCGTTTCAGGGCTGGGGCCGAGGCGGGGAAGGGGCTACTCACTGTAGGAGTACTTCCTCTCGGTCTTCACCTGTCCATCCTCTGTGTACTCCCTGCGGGGAGAGCGAGCACAGGCAGCCCAGTCAGCCCCCTGCACCTGAGCCCCTCCCATCGCTGAGCATCTCTAGTTGACCTGGGAGTCATCAGTTGAGACTCTCCAAGTGCAGCCATCACCCACGGCCTCACCATGGCCCAGACACAGGCTGCCTACCCTGGGGCAGCCACTGTCCTTGAAGCCCTGACTGGAAAAAGCGCTTTCTCACTGAGAGGTGAAATCTGCTCCCACCTGAGTTGCACCAAGGTCTCCCCAGTCTCTGGGCTCAGAGATCAGCTGCACCCCTCCCCCAGGGCCGCCCGAGGGAAGGCCCCTGCAGCTGCCCTTCTCCAGGCTAAGCTGCCTTTGTCCCCCGCCCCATGTGGCTCGTGTGGGGCTAATCCCAGTCTGGCCCAGGACTTCTGGTAGAACAGACTGGGTATCTGCTGGGGGCTCTGCCCTCACAGGAGAGGAGCTGGTGCCCACCCACCGGAGGGCACTGCTCGCGGTCAGGTTCTTGCCTCAAGTATGGCATCCCTAGAGAAGGGGAGCCACTCTGAGCCCGACTTCCATCACCTCCAAACAGAGGAGACTGGCTAATTATTTTGGGGTATTTTGACAATCTTCTGATAGAAAGATCTTATATTTTGAATGTCAGAAGTGTCAAAGGGAAGCCGTCTCTTAGTTATCCTAACATTTGCCCTCCTTTGCCCCCAAGGGATCTTCTGCTTCCTGGCACCTCACCTGGACTCTTCGGTTTCCACCCACTGGTACATCTCCACGTGCCGCCGCAGCTTCACGGCTGGGAGGTGGACACCATAGTTTGGATCAGATAGAAGCTTTAAAAAGAATTGAGCAAACAAGATAAGTAAAGAACAAGACTTGTATTGGTCCAGAATGCCTGGCTCGGGGAAGGCTGGCCGAGAGATGGGCAGGAACAGGACAGGAACGGCGCGCCTCCTGCTGCTCCGTGCTGCAGGACCTCAAGAAGCCACCGAGCCCCAGCTCCCAGCACTCAGCCCCGTGACCATGAGGCGCACAGAACAGGCTCAAGTAGCAATGAGATGGCAGCAGCCACAGGGGATGCAGTGTGCAGACAGGGAGGCTGACAGAGAATCTTCGTAGCCGTGCATGAGACACACCTGCTGATTGCAGCCTCACGGCACCAACTTCTCAAGCTCACACTGTGCCGGGCACTTGTCTAGAGGTCAGCTACTTAATCCCCCCGAGGCTGCAAGATTGGCCTGCAAGTTTGTTACAAGATTCTGCCTATCTCACAGACGGACGTTGAGGCTCAGGAGCGCTGGGCCACACGTCTCCTGACTGGTGAGTTGGGGCTCACACCAGGTGTGTCCATTAGCCACGTTCAACACCCTCCACCACGCAGCGGTGCGCACCATGTCTCTGACGGGTCAGCAGCCCCTGTCAAACCTACCTTGGACGTCCGCAGGGCTCCAATGATGTGCACCAGCCTCCCCTCATTCTCTGGAGCCACGCTGTGGATGCTGTCAGGGGACACCACCAGCGACAGCCCCTCGGCCAGCGAGGTTGCCGTCTTCAGCGCGCGGCCCTGTGAGCAAGGAGGAGTGAGCAGCTCAGGCGGCGCTGCCAGCGCTAAGCTCACTGCAGTGCGGGGCCGGCGGGGTCTCCGGAGCTCTGAGACGGGCCTCCCCTCAGACAGCTGGAGGCCGAGGTCTAGCAAGGAAGGGGCCGGGTGGTACCCGCAATTCTGGATTCCTGTGTTCCCAGGCAGGCGCTTCTCACGGCCACCATCAGCTCAGCACTGCTCCACGCTGGGAGGAGCTGGTGCTTCTGCCTCCCGGTAGCGCATCTGCTGTCCAAACCGTGTGACCTAGGTCTTGCCATCATAACATGTGTGCCCTGACCAGAGGGACTGGTTCAGAGAGAGGACTGAACCCAAGCCAAGAGCTCCCTGCCACATTTGCTTAACTGATTGAGAAAGAGATGGTTCCCCTTTCCTCTGGCTTTGCTGAGCTGGCCGGAAGTGACCCTGGAGTTGCGGCCACTTTTGCCACTACAAAGCAAAGAAAGAAAAATTCGTAACAGAGGAAAACTGGTAGTAGGTGAAGAAATGGAGACTGAGTGGGGGCCTTGAATCCTGGCCCCACCATGCCCAAAGCTGCCATCGAGGACTAGAGGCACGTGGCAGGTGGCAAGGGGCAGCACAGAGAGGCTTCTGTCAAACCGAGGCCAGTAGGACCAAGCCCAGTCTCTGCATTTGCAGCCTGTGTTCCCTGACTGTGGGGACCTTTGCTCTGTACAGAGGGGCCCCGGCACCTTACCTCATTGGTGAAGATTAAGTAGAAGGAGAGCAGGAAGGTCATGAGTCCCACAAACATCCCACCGGAGGTCTCGCTCAGTCGCTCCAGGAAGCCTGGCTGAGGGTCTGTTGTAATTTTGACGTGTTCTCTCTTGTTACTTGTATTGGAATACTGAGAAAAACACATATTAGAAAATTAGAACAACAATCAGTTTTTTAAATAAGCTGAATTTTGCATTTTAGTTATAAGTGATAAAAATGCAGAGATATCAAATGACGCGGTAACACTGGAATCATCAGTCCTATATTGACACCCTGAACTCTCTTCTAACCAGAGTCTCTGGCCACATCATGCTTCTGAAGTGGTCAAAGTGGAATCTATCAGTAATGAGGGCCTCTTCATGGCTGATTAGTGCTCCACTCAGAGCATAGATTTGTCCACTCATTCACCAGTGGATGGGTTTCTTGGTTGTTTCTAGTCCTGGGCTGTTATGAAGAATGCTTTCAGTAACAATCACATGAGGCCTTTTGTTGACGTGAGCTTTCATTCGCAGACTCCCTGGAGGATGGGGCATTTGAGTAGGGTCTCAGAGACAGACCCTGGGCAGGGGAACTGTCGGAGCAATGGTGAGAAAGTAGGTGGTGGCTCTAGAGGGACAGATGCCCAGCTGCTCTGGCTGGGGTGGAGGGGCCCGGGGTTGTGGGAACGAGGGCAGCTAGTCGGCTCTTGTAGGCCTCAAACTCCAGAGTGAGTAGATTAGCTCAAAACAGAAGCATGGTTTAGAGTGAGTCCATTCCGATGGAAAGTGCTGCTGTCAAGAACAGGACCCTACAGCCAGCAGACCTAGGTTTGAGTGCAGGCTCTGCCTCGCACCACTGATGGGAACTTAGACAAGATCTCTTCATGACCCTCCATCACAACGATCATTTTCTCTGCTAGGAATGTGTACTGGGAACTTGGTGGAATGTGAGCTGAGTATGTGTCATACTGCCTATAATCCCAGCACTCTGGGCTCTGGGCTCTAGACTCAGAAGCAATGGGCAGTGAGTGGTGAGAAGACAAGTGGACATTCAGGCCCAGGAAATGGGCAAACTGAGTAAGAATCCCAGCTCTGTCAATTACTTGCTGTGCAAACTTGAGTAAGTTGTTCTACCTCTCTGATCCTGTTTTCTCACTTATAAAATGAAGACAGAATTAGTGCCTCCTTCACAGGACAGTTGTTACACTGATTAAGAGTTCTGTTGCCTCCCTGTTCCACCCTACCATCTTCAGATCTCTCCTCCTCACCTACCTGGTGACTCCTACAGATATGTACCCAACTACTGGATGAGATATGTACCCAACTACTGGATGAATCAACAAAGGCTTGGCAGCAGAGGCTATCCAAATTCATCTACATTCCTCAGTGATGATCAGGTCCCAGCATACCCAAGATGACCCCTGACTACCAGGGCCATCCATCCTAGACTGTGAAGATGGAATTTTCTTTAATGTACCAGGCACTGCATAAAGCAGAGTCTCCCTTAAACTTCAGAGCAATCACACAGGCACTGAGAGAACTCTGCACTTGTCCCACGTCTGCCTGATCAAATTCTTCCATTTTCAGTATCTTTGCAGGGCACAGCGTGCGTGACAAGTACCTTCCCCTCCTGGGGAAGTTCCCTATTTGTCAAGCATAGCGGTGGTGGTACGGGGGTGGGCTGAAGTCCACCTGCTGGGGCCGGCTGGTTTCTGGACTCTCCTCTCCCTTGGCAGAGCTGGGTCTCATGGGCCACTTCTGAGGCTTTTCTAAGGTGCAGCATTCAAGTCTTCAAAGGTTCTCAGACAGTTCTAACCAGGGGCAGAGTTCCAGGGCTGTGGGTGACACAAGCCCTAGCCTCTCAGGCAGCGTGGGAGGCAGAAAGGATGCAGGGACAAGGAGGGGCCTGGACAAGGAGGGGCCTGGACAGAGGGTGTGACGGGCCAGGGGAGGGTAGCTAGGACACCACCAAAGCAGGAGGGAGGGTGAGACTGGGACTGGCAGGGCGCCCAGGCTGGCTCCTGAGGCACTTTCACAGAGGAGGGGGTGGTGAGTCATCAGCTTCGTCCACACCCAGCATCCCGGTGGGAGGTGCTGCTCCTTCTGTTGGGCTTAAATAGAAAGTTTCCAGGCTCACCAAGGGAGGAGAGGTCAGCAGCCCTGGGAAGGAACCGGCCTCCAGGCAGGGTCTCCCTACCCAAACGCAGCCAGGAGGGGCCCGCGGGAGGGAAACGCTCCCGCTCACCACCATCCTACCACCATCCCACCGCTTTCGCTCCCAGTCCTGCCTCTCCCCTTTGCAGCATCATGGCCTCCGTTCACACACGTCGTCCCTCCGCGGGACAGCTGTGGCCGTCCTTGCTGGACAGCTCCCCCTGGGCGGGGTCAGGGTCCCACCCTTGCCGCGCCGACTGGTCTTTTCTCTGGGGTCTCGCAAAGTCGGCAAATCTGAGAACCCCAAGGGCCGGAGCAGGTACTGGAATGAAAGGGGGGCGGCGGGCAGGCGCCGCGCACCGGGTGGCAGACCAGGCCGGAGCAACATCTCCAGAGTCTCCCCGCAAACGCGCGACCCGGGGAAGAGGTGGACAAAAGAAGGCGGGACAGGCCGCGGGCCGGTCTAGCGGCCGGACGGCACGAGGCACAGAGGGAGTACGCGGCGGCTGCACGGACGACGGTCAGACCCGCAGACTGGACCGAGGCGCCCCCTCGGGCGAGAGGAGGCCTGGGGAGATGAGGAGTCTGGGCGTGGCCCGGCAGATCGGGGGACACTCACTTGCGCTGCCATGGTGGGACCCGGCTCGCCGATCCGCCTCGCTCCGTTCAGCTGAGTGATGAATTTACGGCCGGAATGCGAAGTCCAGTGACTTTGTGCCGCCCAAGAGCTGCGAACATGCGTGTGCAGTCTAGAATCCCGGAGGAGGTGCAGAAGAGTCACCGCCCCGCGGGGGCCCCAGTTTTTCTGGCCCAATGCGCCGCAGGGCCTCCTGGGAAATGTAGTCTCGGGTCCGGCGCTTTCTCCGCAGAGATGCAACATGCCGGTACCTCAGGGCTGCGTCTGCGCATTGCAAGGTATCCTGGGAAATGTAGTTCCCGCGCCTGGCGAGGGGCCGAGAGGCGCGCAGCTTGCTGGGAAATGTAGTTTGGGTTGCGGGTCTGGACTGCGGCTGGGAGGGCGAGGAGGCAGGCGCGCGGCGGGCAGACTTGGAGGGGGCGGGTCTGCGCGGGCCTCGGAGGCGCCCGCCCTACCTGAGGAGAGGTCACGACGTGAGCCGCCGCCGCTGCTGCTACCACCGCTTGTGCTTCTAGCTCTGCGCGCCGGGCTGCAGCCATGTCCTACTGCCGGCAGGAAGGTAGGGAGGGCAGGCTGCCATAGAGACCGGCCTACGAAGGCCAGCAGGGGACACCCGGTCTGTACACCCCCCCTAGGCCCCGGCGCCCCCGCGCCCCTCCGGAGGACCGGGCAACCCGAGGTGCCCCCGGAGGCCCCTCCTCGGGACCTTCGGGGCGGGCTGGGCGGTGGGGTCGCTTTCCCAGTTTTGCAAATGCGAAAACCCAGACTCCGGGACTGCGGGAGAAGGCGGCCGGGCCAAGGTCACGGTGAGGCTCGAACCCGCGCTTAGAGGGACTAGCACGTGGGACAGTTGCTGAGGCAGGCCCGAGGGCGCTAAGGAGCGCCGAGCACATTTCTTGTAGCTCGTAATTGGGGATTTATTATCACCGGCTCTTGCCACACTCCGCGTGTTTATTTGCTGCACCTTCTAAGTGTCTGGGAAAGGTGCCCACTGGCTGGGCAGGGCCGGCGAGGCGGGAGGACCACCGACCGGCCGCGTTGGAGCCGTTAGCTAGTACTCGGCGCTGTTCAAGGCGCTGTGCTGGCTTTCTCGTCGATCTGTCAGCGACCTGTAGAAGGTAACTCGTTGGTGCCCGCAGTTTACCGAAGACTCAGGCTGGAGGCAGGTGAATTGGCTTGCCCCATGCCAGGTGAGCCGGGGGCTGAGATCTGAGCCGGGGCAGTCTGGAACGAGAGCATGGAGTATTCAGGCAGGTGCCCCGTAGATTGCTGGGAACCTTCTGCTGGGAGCACCACTCCACCCTTCCTGCTTCCCCCCTCAGCACAGTTGGGTGCCACCCACCTCCTGGGTACGGGCCAAGCTGTTGTTACCTCTTCCCACTAGCTCAGACTCTTCTGGCAGAGATCCGTCCCCACTCGCTGCCACTGACTTTTCCCTGAGCTGCCACTGGACCCCTCCAGTTTCCAGACTTGTAAGGGGGAGCTGGGTCTTCATTCATTCAGCAGATATTCTTGAAGCACTTCTGTGCCAGGAAATGGGGGTTGGGCACCTGGGGATAAAGAAACTATTTGGGGACTACCCTACTTCCCTCACTTTCATTCAGGGAATTTAAAGCCTGGAGAAGGAGCCGACCCAAGGGAGGTCAGGCGCAGTTTGGTGCCCAGTAAATGTTAGAACTGAGTTTGAAAAGTTAAAACGGCTTAATCCAAAAGCGGAGCATCTCCCCAGCACCCCCTGCTCCCAGAACTCCGTCCTCGGGCCATCCGGCGCTAGCAATCACTGCGGCCTCTCTGAGGACTGTTTCCCTTGGTTAGTGCCCGTGCCGGGAACGGCATCCTCGGCCCTCACCATTTTGTTAGCCTGTGGGCCTCTTGTTTTTTATTTCCTTTTTCAGAACCTCTGGTTTATTTCTTTATTTCTTCTCTTAGCAAATTGTTTTCTAGTCTTGTTAGTAGAAGGCTGTGCAGATAAATGAGGCCCCTCCTTGTCCTTGAGGATTTGTGGGAGTCACAGTTTTCCTGGGAAGCAGAGGCAGTGTTCCTGTGCCACACAGCATGGTGCCCTGGCTCCTCCTGGGTCAGAGGTCTCCCTGGGGTCCTCAGCTGAGGCTTGGTTCTCTGGCACTTTAGTTCCACTCTCATACAAGCAAAAATAATTTTGAACATCTTTCAGCTTCAGAGTATCAGGCTCTTGTTCCTTTTTTTAAAGTTAGTTTTTAGGATTTGTTTATTTGTGCATACAAGAGCTGGAGCATATGCCCGTGGTGCGGGGGTGAGAGGACTCACCAGAGACAGTGCGGAGCAGGACAGGCAGGCTGACGGAAATACACTGCTGAGGGAGCAGCGACGAGATAGAAGACCTCTGCTATGCCCTGCGGGTCAGCTCCCTGGCAGGGATGGAAGTAATGCTGCTGCTGGCTTCACAGCGCTGCTTTCACCGCTCGCCCAGGGAGGGCTCGGTCTTGTTCCTTGCTGCTAGTCACTACCACAGAGGGAACCACTGCTTCTCAGGTGTGGGTGATACATGAAATGTAAAGACAGAAATTCTCGTGTTGATGTTTACATTTTTCTTTTACTATGTAAATGTCTCAGACACCTGCACTTAGGTATGAACATTCGCCTGTGGCCTTAACTAACTGTAAAACCAGACAGATGAATGGGTGAATTCTAACAGCACACTCATCAGCCGTGCTGGCAGAGGATGTTTCACTGAAACTTAATTGCCCTTGTACAAAGAATTCGCTTCAGTGCCAGCCGCATTTAAGTCTTTCCACCATCTGATGGCCTCCGCCACCCAGAGCTGGCCTCAGAACGACTGAGAGCCTTTCGCTCGCTGCGTGCTGTGCTCACTGCGAAGTCACTCGGCTCTCCCTGGCTGGGAAGGTGTCATGTATATGTTGAGTCCACCTGCACTCCTTTCTCCACACTCTGGATCATTAAAATCTTCTGATTTGAGCTCTAAGAGATTGTAAGTGGTTATTCATGTCTTTCATATGCTTATATCAATTTCATCATTTTTAGATTATCTTAGAAATGAAATAACAAGTGTCTTAATATTTATTTCTCTAGAGGAATTTCATGGGAATGACTAGTCTAGCAGAGAGCCCCATTAGTTGGCGTTCTCATGACTGGTTCTTTCACCGCTATGTCTGTTAGGAGTAAATGGGGGGACAGGCGCGGTGGGCGGCATATAAGGTGGCGTCCTTGGGGTCTTTCATGCCAGAGTTCATGCGCTTGTTCTGCCTTCACTTTACCACGTGTAGTTTCTTCTCCCCTCTGGGTCTCCACTTTCTCTGTCTCTGTAAAAAGAGAAAGTAATACCCCCTCATGCTGTTGGTGAGGATAAAACGAGCTGAGTTGGAGAATCTTTGCAAAGGACGCAAGTGAGTAAATATGCCATTAGGTCCTGTATGTCCTGTGAACAGTTGGTGCAACTGTTCACTACAGGCGAACAGTGAAGGTGAGTGGGAGGACTCTGTGCTTTGGGAAGGGCCTGGAACGTTCTCAGTGGGATTGCAGCAGACCTGAGATTCCCACACCCGGCTGTACGTCACAGTTACCTGTGAAGACCATGGGCGGTACAGATGTGGCAAAAACCTGATCACCTTTTGTTGGTAAGGCCTGGCCAGGATGGACCCTCTGCCTTGGGTGCCTGAGCCTGGGCTTACCATTCGGCTGGACTGAGCAGGTCTTGGTAACAAAGCTGTCGGAGCTGTGCTGAGAAATTTGCTCAGCTAATCCTGCTTAGCCTTCAGCAGTTCTGCAGATTAATTTCTTATGTTTTGAAAACTGGTCAGATTCATCAAGTGCTGCCCCACCCCACTGCCCCCCTATGGGCATACCCAACAGTTCCTGCTGTGTGGTTAGCTGATGGCCACAGGTTTTAGGAAGGTGGGGTGCTAACAGCTACAGTGTAGGGAGAGCACCTGGGTGAGTTTATAGGTGAAGTGCCTGCCTCACCATTGCACATGAGTGACCACTCTGGGCCTGAGTTTTTGCTGTATGAAGGGGCTGAGGGTGATTCAACTCTATAGCATTGCAGGAAGGTTAGCTGAAATGGGCCCGAGCGCACCCATCCTGGTTCAGCCCAAACTGACTCCTTTTTCTGAGCTCACCCAGCCTCCCCTGAGGAGAAACTCCAGAAAAACCTGCACTTGGTTCCCACCAGTCCGCTGCCTGGGAGCCTCGGCACCATCTGTCCGCGAGGCCCAAGGTGCTGTTCACGTGAAGGGCGGGCTTCCTGCCGCTGTTCCTTGCGGGACCAGAGTCCTGACTGCCACCAGCCTGTTAGGTCTAGGTTGATGGTGGTTCTGAAAAGAACAGAAGTCAGTAAAGAACAGAAGTCAGTCCCATCAGCACGCCCGGGAAGCAGGTCCTCCTCCTGCGTTCCTCCTGGGGGTTGGGAAGCTGCCTCCCAGACCAGTGGGCTGAGGGGAGCTGTGCCCTGTTCTCCCACATCATGATCCCTTCTGGCCATGACTAGGGGCCAAGAGGTCTTGAGGAGTCTTGGCCAGACACTGTTAGACCCTCTGGGTCCTCAGGTTTCTCGCAGAGGGCATCTTGAGCAGGCTTAAGTGGCTGCATCAGCCGGGCGGGCTGCCGGGGCTGCAGGCTGGGTTCGCCCACTGGGCACCTCCCGCCGTGTCCAAGTCCTCAGTCTTCCATGCACGGTGAACCCTGTGATTCAACCATAAAGGGCTCCAGTGGAGTCTTCTTTCACTTTATGCTACTTCATTCCACTCACCCCCCCGCCCCCCCACGAGCTGCTTGTGGTGTCCAGCGGGCATTTTCTTCATTCCACCAGTGTTGACAGAATGCTGACTACATGAGGCGTGGGGAGAGGGGAGCCATGGCAAGTAGACATGAAGTTCTCAGGCTGATGGGAAATAGTGCAGACAGCCCGAGCACCGTGGAGTCCTGAGAAAGGGCAGCTCCTTTCCTGCAGCAGTTGAATCGGGGCGTTGTGCACCTCCCACCTAGAGGCACAAGGGCGGGGGCAGGTGGCTGCCTCTTTGTCCACCACATGGTAGGGTTGTTCCCACTGTAGGCACTGGTAGAAGTGGCTTGTAGTCAGTGACAGAGACCAGAGAGGGGCGCCCCACATGGAGGTCTCGCAGGGCTCAGTCTTCAATTGCAGAGACTACTTTTGGTTTAGGGAAGAAATGAAACATTTCTTCCTCTGTTCTCCAAACACTAGGGAAGGACCGAATCATATTTGTGACCAAAGAAGACCATGAAACGCCAAGCAACGCAGAGCTGGTGGCCGATGACCCTAATGACCCGTACGAGGAGCATGGTGAGTGGTCAGCTGTAGGGCTGTGTTTTCAGATGTGCATCTCAGCCACGGATCACCTCAGGACGGTGAACTTGTTCAGATGCCAGGAACCGTTGAGCTCTTCCCCACCCTCATTCTGATGTGCTTTTCTGGCCAGAAGAGTCTCCTTACTGGAGTTCTACCTCTCCCCTTCTGGGTTTTGGCACTGACCTAAACCAGCTGGATGCTGTGCACCCATTACATTTGGGGGAAGGTGTCATTGGATCCCAGCAGTTAGGGGCAGATTAAGGTGGAAGGAACATCCTGCTCAGCCACAGTGGGCGCTGCTGGCAGGCAGGCACACAGAGGTCAGAGACCGCGCTCTGCGAGGCGTGAAGTTGCTGTTCTCTCGTGGCGGCAGTCCACCAAGCCCCTTGCATGGCCAGGTCGCTCAAGGCGGGGGACCCAGGACCTGAGCTCTACATTGTGAGTAGGCTGCCAGCTTGCTTATGCCAGCTGCCTGCCTGCCAGCCCCAGCTCTGTGGCCGAGATCCATATAGATTAGCTAAGATTGCCAAGGTGGCAGAATCTGTTCATAGAATCAAAAAGATAGGGGTAAGGTCACCTGGTCTAGTGGGAAAGCTGAGGGCCTGGGAGGAGGTGGGACTGGGCAAGGAAGCTTGAAAGCCAGGCCTTTCGTTGCAAGTTTGAAAACATGCTGCATGTTTTGAAAGGGTTTTTGGAAACCAGGAAATGCTATTTAGTGTGAACAAGGTTCTAGGATAGAAAAAGGTGTGAGATTCAAAAAAGCATAAGGCCTATATAATATTGCAAATGAAGTCCACCACTTCCTGACCACATCGATGTATAATTGAATGGTTTGGTTAATACATTTACTGTCTCTTTAGGACTTTTATTTTATAAGACTAGAACTCTGCTTCTTTGGTATGCCTCTAGCCTTTTCCTTGTACAACAGGTTTGGACTTCTTCCCAGTCAGGGCAGCGCTCTCGTGCTGTCCTGAGCTGCTGAGACAGCCGCAGAGTGAGAGGGGCGTGAGGGCCAGGATGCATGGGGCCGGGGAGTGCTGGTCATTGCGTGGGAGAGGTGTGGAGATTGGAAGGAGAAGTGATAACTCAGATTCCTAAGTGTTCTGACCTTCCAAAAAGCTGCTGTCCAGCTACCCAGGTGTGTCCTCTTGTGATACAGACCACTGCTCAGTGTCACACACAGAGCAAGAGGCCGATGGTGTGCTCTCCCCAGGAATGCAGCCTTCAACCTCATCCAGCTCGAGCGGTAGCCCCCAGGCCGTGCCTGCCAGGTGGCAGTTCATACTGCTTTGTATCTTCTGAGTGGATATGGTTTTGCTTTCCTGAAGCCATCTGTCACATTTTCCTTGCCCATCTTCCTGTTCCAGGATTGATACTACCAAATGGAGACATTAACTGGAACTGTCCATGCCTCGGGGGAATGGCCAGCGGTCCCTGTGGGGAACAGTTCAAGTCAGCCTTTTCCTGCTTCCACTATAGCACGGAGGATGTCAAGGGCTCAGACTGTGTAGACCAGTTCCGGGCCATGCAGGAGTGCATGCAGAAATACCCGGATCTCTACCCCCAGGAGGATGAAGAAGAAGAGGAGAAGAAGCCAGCAGAACATTTAGAGGAGACAGCTCACAGGGAAGCCCCAGCAGCCAAAGAAGAGAAGGGGTCAAGCTAATGGCAGCCCTGAAATGGCAGTTCTTCCACTTCAGGGTGATAGGAACCTTTTGCAAAATGCCTTTCCATCACTCTCCGAGAACATGTCTTTTCCTGTGCTGTTCTGTGTACTGTAATATACAAAATAAGTTATTTTGATCATCAGGGCCCTTGGCCTCTTGACAATACACTGAAAAAAAAATGGAGTTTTATGTATGTATGTCTCACATAAAGAGATCAGCAAATGCAGCTGGCCACCTCAGAATTCTTCTCTCAGATTCGCCTAAATTTTGTTATGTGAAATGTGATGTGTTAGATAATCTCAGCAAGCAAGAATCATTATTTGGGAGTGTCTCTTATAAGTGAGCTGATTTCTTCTGATTCATCATATCACTTGTAGTAGATTTTATACTCCTTTCGGAAATAAACAGAAACAAAACATCTTCCTGTGGAAATGCTGGCGCGTGGTGTTCTCATAGAAGAGGCCAGATGGCAGCTCTTACTTTTTAGACTCCACCTTGACCATGCGAATCTGAGGAGACTGCCTTTCCGTTCTGAGGCACTTTTTGGCTCCAGGTTTTCTGTGTTTGAAAAGTGGAGTTTTGAACCCTCTGAGCCACAGTCCCCATCCTAAGATAAGAGAAAGGCTGGGCTTTTTGTTTGTTTGTTTTTTTGGTGTTCTTGTTATTTCTAAGCCGTGAGTTAACACTGGCTCTGTCTCTCCTGTTCAGATGCAATGTTCTTGAGAGGTGGGGGCTTAACTTGTGACCAGAGTAGCATCCAGGTGAGGCAAGGCTTGAATTAAGTATTCAATAAACAGGAAAATGTGATTTGTACCTGATTTGTACCTGTGTGTTTTTACTAGTTAAAAATACTTATGATGTAAGGCAATAAAAATTTAATAGAAATTTCCCTATGAAGATAGCAGTTAGCCAGTTTGAGTCTTAAAATTTTCTGTGTGGCGTTCAAAGCCTGCTAATTCTTTGTGAGCAGAGACTTCCTACAGACATGACTGTTAATCTGTGAGGGGGAAGTCCCTCCCCATTGGAAGGAGGGAGCCGAGGTCCTTGCAGGTTATGGAACTTGTGACACAGTATGTTAGTCCACAATATGTTAGTCACCCATGGCTACGTTAAAAATTGCTTAAAACTCAGCACCACGAAACAACAAACATTACCTTACAATTTCTATTGCTCATGCATCTGGGCACAGCTTACCTGGGCCCTGTGACTCATAGTGTCTCATGAGACTGTGATCGAGGTGTCTGCCAGGGTTCCAGTCAAGTCAGGGCTTGACAGGCCTTCCAGAATCATTCAGCTGGTTTGGGTCAGTTTCGGTTCTTTGTGGGTTTGTTGGATTGAGAGCCTCAACTCACGGGCTGTTGGCCAGAGTTCTCCCCCCAGTTCCTTGCCATGTGGGCTCATTGCAGGCAGGTGGCTTCCATCGGAGCAAGCACTAGTGATGACTAATCTCAAATGACATTCTGTGGCCTTCCCATGTCTTCTGTTAGAAGTGAGTTACAGCCAAATGTTATTCAAGATGCTGAGTACCGGGAGGCCACGGAGCACACCAGAGAATGAAGTAACAGCACAGCTGGGCTCGCAAGGACAGTGAGCTGTGAGGAGCTGTGGTCCTGCGATGTTAGAGAAAACAGCAAATATGTACAGCCAGGACTTTCCAAAAACCCAACAATTCAGAAGCCAAGAACCTGGAGTTGGCCAAGTTGGGAGATAAGAGAGCTCCAAGAAGGGCATTTGTGGCTACTTACATTTTCTCCTTACGTTATTCTCTTAGCATTATTTAATTCATATCTTTCATAATGAATGCTATTCATTCACACAGTATCCGTTTAAAAAACACACTTGGTTTGAATTTTAAATTTGCCATTTATCTTTGGCCTGGAGCATTAACATAGAATATTACGGATTTCATAGCTGGGAGAAGGAACCATGGCCATAACAGTGACCTCCTTTGACAAGCTGTGACCTTTATCCAAGGTCCTTTTATTTTCCAATTTCCACAGTCTACAGCACCACATCCACAACCCACTACTCAAAGGAAACAGCTATCTGACAGGCTCCTCAGTTACCAGGAGAAGAAATACCCCCTTTTATGTTCTCATTTTCTAGACCCTGTAGGTGAGAGAGCATGCCTCTGCCATATGAACGATGTGGGCATTCTTCTCTGAGACAGGAGGGCTTCAGTTGTGCCTTGAAGGACACTAGCTGCTCGGGGCGGGGTCTCGTGCTATCTAGTCTCCCCCCTAATTAATCTTTAGTATGTACCCACAGTTCTGGAATACATGTTGAAAAAGATCATACACTGAAGAGCCACAACCTGAAATCAGGGCTTTCACCCCATCTCTTTAATTAGTCTGCACCTTGACATTTTGATCTTTTATAGCATGGGGTCATATTCCCCCCAGCACCTCCACGTGAAGAGTGAATAGTGATGAAATAAATGATTCTAAATATTTATTACAATTCTCTGATTTTATCAGTATACATTGCGGAGGGAAGCTAGAGGTCTTGAGAGTCCGGAGTCCTTGACACAATGCTCGTGAAACCAGTGTTCAATCTGTGAGAGAGTGCTAGAGAAACACAATGGCACAGTCATGGCACCAAATATGCCCCTTGCGGATGATACACATGCATGTGACTAGCATGAGACCCACGAGGCACCTTTGGTTAAACCAGAGATGCCAAGTTCAAACACAGGTCAGTGCCAGTGGCGTTCTTCCAGTCCTAAAATTTCCCCTTAATTCAGTGGGTGTAGGCATATGCATTGCCACTAAAGGGGACGTGATGCTCTGTGTGAATGAATAGCATTCATGTAGTAAAGGTATGAATTAAATAATGCTAAGAGAATAACATAAGGAGAAAATGTAAATGGATACAGATAGCCTTATTCTCACCAGGTCTGTGATGATGCACTCTCGGGTCTTAGGGAAACAGACGGAAGCCTCCGTTGTCATCACATTCTTCTTTTGTTAAAGCAGACACAGCCCATAGTTATGAACTCCAACTTGAAATATGCTAGCTGTGAGGACACAGGTTTAATCACTGACAACATCAATTTAAATACTTGAAATTAAGATGGAGACAAGGTTATGTCTCGAGAAAGCATTTTGAAGGAATGTGAGGTTGAACTCAGCAGTTTGGAAAACAGAAACTCATTTCCTTCTAAAGAACTCTAAATGATTTCTGTGTAAATACCTTTTATTGTCCAAACTACAGAGATACTTACTATATAATATAGTGTATTATGAAGACCACAGAAGCAAACCCAAGTTTAATGAAAATCTAGAGTTAAAACTTATCCCTTCCTCGATGACCAAGGATATGATTCAGTAATGTTTTAGACCAAAATAATTACATAGCATAATATGTACCCTGAGAACTAACATAGTAAGTAAATGAAAGTCATTTTTATCAGAGAAAGGAATGGCAACTTAAAGTTAACTGAGTATTTCATATGAAAATCTCAACTAATTTTTTTTATCACTAAATTCAAGGATAAATATAATAAAATTCTCACTGAATTACACAGAACCGCTGAACTGGAGGAGGGCTAGGCCCAGACTTCTAGCTAGAAAACAATTCCCTGGCCCTCCCTGGTGGCACAGCTGGTTAAGGCGCAGCACTGCACTGGCCACAGCCGCCTCAGTGCGAGTTCGACCCACAGGGCCCAGCAGACCTCTCCTGACCTGTCCACTGCTCCCCTCAGCAGTGTTCTTTGATCTGCCTGTTCTGCTCCCCACTGTCTCTGGTGAATCCTCTCACCACCCCTGCACCTCTGGCCTGTACCCCAGTTCTGTATGCATAAATAAATCTTTAAAATTTTTTTGAAAACAAAAAAAATTCCCTACTAGCCTCTTCCCGCCACCTGCCTCAGGCCCCATGCACCACTGGCTCTAGTCTGGGGAAACAGTCGCCCACCAGAAGGACCTGTGGGATGACACGCATGTGACAGGAACCTACACAGCTTAAAGGCAAGGACCTTGTTAGTTCATCTCTCCGCAGACCCGTCACTGGAGTGTTGTAGAAAGGGGACAAGACGGAGCCTCTCATCTCTTCACCTATCTCCTGGAGAAAGCAGTCTCAGAATAGCTGTCTCAAACCTTTTCCACCAGTTCCCTTGTCACATCTGTGGGGAGGGAGTAGAACTAGACAACAGGTTCTCTGATTTTGATAGGAAGATCAAGTACATTTTGACCACTCTCTTTTTTTTTTTTTTTTTAAAGATTTTATTTTATTTGTGCATACAGAACTGGGGTACAGGCCAGAGATGTGGAGGGTGAGAGAATTCACCAGAGACAGAGCAGGGAGCAGAACAGGCAGATCAACGAAATACACTGCTGAGGGGAGCAGCGGGCGGGTCAGGAGAGGTCTGCCATGCCATGTGGTCACCTCCGGGGCAGGCGGGAATCGAACTCATGCGGAAATGGCTTTAGATTCTCAGTGCTGTGCTTTAACCCGCTGCGCCACCAGGGAGGGCCTGACCACTCTCTTTTAATGTCTGACTTAAGAGAGGACAGTTGGGTTCCTGTACGCATATTCTAAGCGTCTTCTGTGATAGACCAGCCCGGCTAAAATGAACTCTTCGTGATGTCTAGCACAACTCTCTGCAATGAGGAAAATGCTCTGTCCCACGCATCAGCCACTCATGCATGCATCTGGGGAGCACCCAACACTTCGAAGTGTTGAACCCACACAGTGGCCAGTCCTCTGGTGAGCAGTGTTCTCTGAGGCTGCAGCTATGGCCCTGCTCTAGGTCTGTGTCACAAGTACCCACCGTGGGGGCCGAATTCTTGAACGCCGTCCCAGATCCACGATTCATAGACAGTTCAGGTTCCCTGTGGACTTGACACAACTCTATGCTATATGCTTGTGAAAATAATTTAGCCTTATGCTCTTGTTTCACAGAAGGTAAATCAATGAAAATACACTTCAGGCTCACCGTACACTGTTTTATGCTTCATGTTTCTCAGCCTTGAACTGCAGTATATGCTGCATCACACAGGGAGAATGTGCTGTGCGTGAGCCAGTCCCACTTCTACAGTATGAATTTTACACTTGAGCCCACACTACTGTCTTGCTTACTTGAGGGCCACTTGCACAGCTGGAATCCCGTGGGAAGCATCTTTCAGGCTGGGGTGGACACTAGTCTTCTAATTAGAACCTTAGCCAGAATCATCAGGACTCTATTTAAATTGTGGTTATATTTAACTGCCCCGGATCCTCAAGCCCAAGAATGGAGAGAAGATAATTTTGGGGATGTGTTCCTGTGAGGGATTAATAACTTTACTCACTTTGAGTTTTTTTTTTTCCTTTTCTGGCATGATAATGAAAAATATGCAAGATGATGCTATCTTGAGGGATTCAGAGAAAAGATTACATTCTGTCAGAATCTTATGTGCAGAGACTGAAATGGCACCCTATGT